TAACTTCCCAACCCTGATCAGCAACTATAGTGTGTTAGTAAGTGACAGCTGTATTTTTTTCCCCCTCTGTGGGACAGAGGATCAAGCCTATGCCTTCAAGCATGCTAGACAGGGGCTCCATCCCCGCCTTGAGATCTGTACCTTTATCCTTGGACATAGAAGCTATTTTACTTTCCTTTGAAAGAGATAGTATGTGTTTGTCTTTGAATATCTTTAATAAACAAATTTGGATTTTGAAGTGACATTACTCAAATATCATTAATTAAATAACCAATTGATTAACTAATTGATTCATTAGTTAATGGTATAATTACTGGTCATTTAAAATACTTTCCGTCCTGAAGGGAAGACAACAAAAGTAATCTCTGGAGAACATTTCTTTATACTGGATTTTTAGAAGGTGTGATTTCATTTCCCGATCTTTACAGATGTAGTTTCTAGAATTTAAATCAGGAGATCAATAATGTGGATTTGTGGGTAAACTTTTGGATTCTTGTTTTCCCCTTATTCTTTGATGTAAAATTGCTTTTCCACAAATGGTCTGCCCTTGAAAATGATAAGACAAAAAAGAAAGAAAATGATAAGATAGAGATTTGAGAGTAGTCTCACTAGACTACTCTCTACCAGCCACTTCTGGACTTGACAGTAAGTTAGGAAGAGATTGCTCTGAGGAGGAAGTTGGTCATTAAGACCTTGTGGCAGAAGGGATATTAACCAAATCTTCAGTTAAATCTGAAGAAAATGATGCTTGTTCTTAAAATAAAAATGACCTCTGGGTGAGACAGAAGAATATTAGAAACCAACTTGAATAGGCATCTCATTTAAACTGGAAAATTTTGAGCTGTGTGATCGGGAATATGTGAGGAACATTTGAGGGGAGTCTCATCGAGAGGTTGCTTTTTAAGCATTGCATATATCCTGCCGGGTTGAGATGTTCTCTTTCAACAGGAGGTTAAAGTAGAATAGAAAAGGGAAATACAGATTGGCTGGCATTTTTTCTGTATTTAAGAGAAATATTTATTTCACATTTATGATTACATATATAATTATATGCCTGCATTAAAAAAATTATTGAGATACAATATGCATACTAAAATGTACAGATCATAGATGTAGCTTGGTAGATTTTCACAAACTAAACAAACCTGTATAATCAGTACCCAGATCACAGGACAGCATTCAGGTACCACATGTCGCCTTCCAGTCACTGCCTCTCCCCTCCAGCTCGTAATTAACTATTAACAGCACAGGTCAGCTCTGCCTTCTTTTATGTTGTTGTTGTTGTGTTGGTGGTGGTGGTACTGGGGATTGAACTCAGTATCTTGTACTTGCCAGGCAGGCGCTTACTCTACTGAGCTATCTCCCCGGCCCTCTTTTTATGTTTTATAAAGTAAAGGCATATTGTCTGTATCCCTTTTCCTCTGGATCCTTCTACTCAACACGTTCATCATGTTCATCTACATCGTGGTAATTGCGAGTCATTCCTTCTTAGGGTCCTGCACTGTGCATCGCAGCATTGAATGAATGCTGTGCGGCTATTCTAGTATAAGACTTGAACGCACAGCTACCTGTCTTTTGGGTAAATATAAATACATACAATTTTTTGTGTCCTGCAGTATTATATATGCCATCAGCTTTTTAAATTTTTGGGTTTTTTCTGATACTTGGGACTGAACCCAGGGCCTTTGCACTGAGCTGCATCAGTGCAAAATTTAGGGAGCTCTTTTGGTTTTTTCTTTGAGATGGAGACTTGCTAAGATACTCAGGCTGGGCTCAGATTTACAGTCCTTTTGCTTCAGCCTCCCAGAGTGGTAAGATTATAAACACGCTCTGCCACAGCCAGCTGTATGTGTTCAGCTTCAGTAGGCACTATCAAATAGTTGCGAGAGCATTTGCATCACTTTGCACTCCCAGCAGCAAGGTATGATGGTCCTGTAGCTCCAATATCCTATTAACGCATGAAATCTTCCATTTGTTGTTCTTTTCTTCCTGGTAAATGTACGATGTTTTATGTGGTAGTTTTAGTTTGCATTTGCCAGGTAGCTGAAAAAGTTGGATACCCTTTTGTTCGTTTATGGATTTTTAAGGTACTCTAATTAAATCTCTAAGTTCTTTTGCCTATTTTTAGTTAGTTTGAATTTTTATTATATTTATATTTATTTTATATATTTTCAAGTATTAGACATTTAAGTTTTTTTAAAAAGCAGATTTTGTGGATTTCCCTACAAATATAAAGGGTTTTAGAAACTAAGTCTTTTGCATGGGCCAGCAAGATAACTCAGAGGTCTAGAGTGCCTGCTTAGGCAAGCTTAGGAAAGCATGCAAGGACCGTGGTTCAGTCCCCGGCACCACACCCATCATCCAGGGCAGGCTGAGCCAGCCACAAAAAATAAAATAAAAGTCTTTTGCAGAAAGAAAACATTTATCTGTTTTGCTTAATGACTTTATAATAGCCATTGCTTGGTATGTGTGTCATGAATGGTTCCATTTCTGAAGCAGTCATGACTGAGTTGTGTAAATGCCAGAAGTGATAACATAGTGTAGATGTTCTTCTTTTTCAGATGACAATTTATGAAGACTCGGTTACAGCTCATCTTTCAAAAATCCTCAATTCTGATGAACATGCAGTGGTCATATCGTCAGCCAAGTGAGTTGCAGAGTCTTCATCATAAGTAGTTAAATGGTGAAAACAGGACAGCTGCTCGCTGTCAAGTCTTCCTGGGTTTTGTCTTCAAGAAATATCTGTGAAGCAGCTTATAGAATTAGTCACACTAAATTTGATAGAAGTACAAATGCTAATTGCTTTTGATGGTATTCTCTGCAGCAACAAGAAACAGCTGGGAAAAAGCAAGCTGGCTCCAGGCAAGAGCAGCACAGTGGTTAGTGTGGGCAGAGATGAGCTGCGCACTCTGACAGGCAGTGATGCCGGTCCGTTTGCAGCTCTCTAATGAGTGGGATGCGAAATGGTGAATGCACAGCCTCGCCCAGCTCAGCACCCCTCTGGTCTCCCTCACCCTGAGCTCAGTCCACGCATCTGTTCCTCATTGCACCTCTTGGTGCATCCTTTGGCATTCAAAGGACTGTGTGCTAGAAAAGGACTGTAGAAAGAACAGCTTTTCAGAAGTATTCCACACTGTTTAATAAACTGTTTAATATTTTACCCTACCATCTATCTTTTTTTGTGGGTTTTTTTTTTTTTTTTTTTGGTGTTGGGATCAAACTCAGGACCTTGTGCTTGCTGGGCAGGTGCTATCCACTGAGCTCTCTACCCCGCCCTACCCTTGGATACTTGCAAAGCCTAATTCACATCCTTTTGTCTGAAGCATTTGATCACTGCCTCATATACATTTTATGTCTTTAATCAAATGAAATTTATGTTACGCAAAGTGAACAACTGCAAACAAGATCATCATGGTAGCTGCCAACCCCTTTGTCTCTCTTATCATTTTTAATCTTTATTTTCATTTTGTTTCCTTTGGTACTGAGGATTGAACCCCCAAAGTGTTGAGCTGCACCCTATCTTTTTTTTATTCATTCATTCATTGAAATAGGATTTTGCTATGTAGATCAGGCTGGCCTTGAATTCATTAGGTAGCCCAAACAGGCCTTGAATTTGTGACCGTCCTGCTTCACCCTCCTGATTGCCGGGATTATAGTGTGCACAACCATGGCAGATCCTTTTTAAATTTTAAGACCAGATCTCACTCAGCTGTCCAGGCTGAGCAGGAAGTTCTGATCTTCCTGCCTCAGCTTCTTCATTAGCTGAAATTCACTGCGCCTGGCACCATTCTTAATAACTATAACAACTAACTTGATAACTATGTAGTCTGACATTCTTAGTAGTAGAAACAGTTTTTTAAATAAAATCTTATACAAGATCCTACTGTGAAAAGCTTAATGTTCTGTTTCATTGGTGTTAATAAATTAGATAAAATTAAATTATTAAAGCCATGCATGAAAAATTAAGCAATAAGTTTAGAGATAACAGTTATAGTTATGTTTGATCCTATTTCCAGTTATTTCTATATTTTATTTTGGTTACATAGTTGTAAGGCTATGTCCTCTGACTTAAGGATCAGTTAAGTAAGATGACAGAAGATTATTTACTCCAAGATTTGTACAACTAGTAAATTCTAAAGAAAATGTTAACATTATTTGTCTCGATGTTTCTAATGATCATTTTGAGCACTTAAATATTATTTGCCAGATTTCTAAAGCAATTCATAAGTTCTTACAGAATTTTCAAAGTATTTAGAGAATAGTTTAGAGACTAAGGCCGGTTGGGTCTTGTCGACACGCATTTGCCAGCTTTGTGGCCTGTGTCCATTTTTATCAGTGTAAAAATGAGAGAATGCCTATTATTTCTCTTTCATGGAACCATCAGAATTACTTAAGTAAGTCATAAATGCAGAGACTGTAGAGGCTGCTGCACGGAGGTTGTGCTGCCGCCACCTCCCTCCTCAGCTGTGTTTCCGTTTTGTGCATGCTCCTGGTCTAGCGCTTTTCTGACCTCTGATCTTACCCCTGCCTTTGGGCTTCTCTTCGGCCATCTCTGCTCTGATGCCCTCCTACCCTGGTCCCCTCGCGCCTCTCCTCTGAAGGTCCAGTCTCACTGCCATCCTGCCGTTGCAGCCCCACCTTAGAATCTAAAGGGTTGAGTCTGAAGAGTTCAAGAGATAAAGGACAGTGTATATCTTTATACCAGCAATATATCTTTAATTTTATTTTTATGGACATTTTCTTAACATTTTTAAAAATTTATTTATTTGGTACAGGCTCTTACTACGCAGCTCAGGTTTATAGTGACCTTCCTTATCTCAACTCCCCAGAGCTGGGATTACAGGTGTGCACCACCACTCCTGAGTTCTGTTATTATTTTCAAATAAATAGAAGTAGAGAGACCGGTATGATAATGTCCTACCATACCATCACTCACCTTCAGTATTACCAAAATTTTCCCATCTACTTTCACTCTGTTTTGCAAATCAAAGAAATCATTTTATTCCATTTTCAAATATGTGTATATGTATAATCTCTTTAAAATATTTTTTGAGGCAGGGTCTATTTACTCTTGAACTTATGGTGATCCTCCTGCCTCAGCCTCCTGAGTGCCAAGATTTAAATTTTCTACTTCTGTCAGTGTTACTCAGTACTTGTTCCAGTTCTTCCAGTTATCTCCAAAGTTTTTCTTTTAAATATTTGATTTATTCAAATTGAAATTCACACAAGGTTCACACATTGCATTTGGTTTATGTGTCTTTAAGTGCTAAACATTTATACAGTACCCAAATCATGAAAGTGTAAATGATTTTCAGTGATTAGAAAAACTACTGCACACGTAAGAATTCATCCATGTACTCACCATCCAGATAAAATATAAACTGTTCCATTCTTTTATTAATGCCTTGTATTGTTGAAATACAGTATTGCAGTGAAGTATATTAACTTTCTTATTTATTTTTATTTTATTTTCATAAAATAATAATCCACAGTAATTATAATTGTTTTCCATTATTTTAAAAATGCTGAACTACTAATGGAAAAGCTGTATTCCTTAAACATAGCTAATGTTTAGGTTAACTAATGTGGCCAACACCATTCTTTGACTTTGGATGGGATTTTAATCAGTTCAGTTCTATAACATTAAGTTATCAAAGTTCTAATTAGCAATCGTAGATGCTGACAGTTATGTACCTTTTCTTGCAATTTCAATTACTCTACTTTCATTTAGTCAGTAGTTTTCACACACACACACACACACACACACACACACACACCCTGCTTTAGTCAGTAGTTTTAAACTTTATAAGCTTTAGCAGCATGTGTTACTTTGGGTTTTTTGCTACTATCTCTACTACCCCTAAATTTTAAAATAAATGTAATTTTTCTATATAAAACTTTGAGAAGGGCTGGGGAGATAGCCCAGCATTCTAACCATCTGCCTAAGGACGTGGGATCGCTTCCCGGTACTACACGCTGTGCCTGCCCCAGATCCCTGGGCGCACTGAGCTGGCTACTGAAACCGGGCATGGTGGCACACGCCTATAATCTCAGATCTGGGGAGGCTGAGACAAGAGGATTGCTGTGAGACCAAGCTGCATAGCAAGACCCTGTACCAAACAGATAAATAAATGAAAGAAAAATAATTAAAAAGAAAAAACTTAGAGAAAATGGGATAACTGGCACACACAAAAAAAAAGAATTTAGATTTGGAACCTGCTTTAGAAGTAATTTAGGCAAAATAAATTAGGTTTGAATAGATTGAGTGAAAAGCATGGTTATTAAAAAATCTTTCCTCATGTACGTAGATACCAAGGAGACTACATTATGCATTAGTACTTCTAAATAACTTTTAATGCCTAATTTGATCTTTTTAATTAAATTTTTGCAATGGATTCTTTCAGGTCCTCATGATTGTCCTCAGAGCCACTCTGTGATGCTGTGTAGTCATCATGCTCATATTTATCTTACTAAAATATTTGCATATTTCATTGTTCTTTCTCCTATTTTAAAAATATTATTGGAAAAGAATAACAATATTAATACTAGTGTTAATAATATATCTCATAAATATAATTGCAGTGACGGTAGAAATCAAGTATGGTAAATGTAGTATATTGTTAGGGTCTCCTGAATATTTAGTGCACAAAATGGACTACATTTAACTGAAGGATGAGAACAAGATTAAAGGAGTAAAATTTTGAAAATGTCTTACACAAAGTTCTAACATTAAGGATACAATTAGGGGGGCTGGGGAGATGGCTTCCCTGGCAAGCACAAGGGCCAGAGTTCAATCCCCGGTTCCACAAAAAAAAAAAAAAGAGAGAGAGAGATTATTAGGGATTAGAATTTTTTACTCTTATGTGCAAATCTATGTTCCACCTTTTTAAATTTTTATTTTTACTAGTACATGTTTGCAGTACATAATGATTACATTCATCATGGGAGTTTTCACATGTACATAACTCATCTTAATTTTTTTAGATGTCTCCTGTCTCCTCTACTCTGACCTTCTGTCTCTGTCTCTTGATCCCCTTTTGCAAAAGATGTATGTCCTAGTTTTCTATTATCTACTATTTTACTTTTTAATTTATTTATTCTTTGGGAATCCCATAGAAGAGAAACCATGTGATATTTAAACTTGTATATCTGATTTATTTCAGTTACCATTCTTAACATTATTGTTCTACTTTAATTTGATTTTTGCATGTTTTCTAGAAGTCTTTATACATTATAATAGAAATCTATGTATGTAGAGATTGTCTACGGTTTTGCTGTGTAAATACATCTTAAAATTATTTTTCTCCTGTTTACAAGTTTCCAGTTGGTACCACCTTAAAATCATCCTATATTTAAGTATATATATCCTGTTTTTAATTTTTTAAGTTCTACATGAATTTAGGTATAACAGAAGGTTAATTCTTCTAGAATATTTATATTCTACAAGGTGTTTATATCCTATATTTCTTGTGAAATATGGGACTTAGTGGACTGTAATGCGGAGCATTGAACATTTATGTTTCTTCGCATAACTGATGTAAGGAACACACTCATACTGACCATATTCCCACTTTGCAGCTCTCTTGGCACAAGGTTCAAAGGGATCAGTGTTCCTCAGCCTCTGTCTCCCTCAGCCACATAGCCCGGGCTGAGGAAGCAGACCTCTGCTGTTCCTCTCACCCTTAGGCTGATGGACAGCATGGCTCTGGGCCCTAGGAGTAAACACCAATAAAAGGAGTGATGTTGATAGTATTCTGGCATACGCAGTCTCACCAACCCAAGACAGAAGTATACCAAGCCAGTGTAACAATGATGGCAAGACAGGCTTCTGTTCTGGAGTTACATAAAAAGATAGGAGTATTTGTTTCCTTTCTCTAGAAGTAGGAGAGCTTTGAGAAATTTTCAATAAAGTCCATAGAAGAAATTTCACAATCGCTGGTTTAATCGTTTGAGAAGTTCCGTAGAACTATTATTCATCAACAAAGAAGAAAAACTTGATGCATATGAATGTTACTCTAGGGAATGGTAAGCTAGATTCTTTGTAGCTTTGAGGTTAAAAAGCCAACACATAGGGTTGGGGATATAGATCAGTGGTAGAATACTAGCCTAGCATGCACAAGTCCCTGAGTTCAATCCCTAGCACCACAATTTTTTTTTTAAATTAGCAGGTTGACAGATAGGAGACATTACCTTTATCCAAATGAATGCAGAAATAGCTGCCAAAACCCACCAAATAAACATTATTAGGAATGATGGATTTACTTCCTATATGATAGAAGTGAAAGTTTAGCATACATGTAAACTTGTACAGTATATGTGTGTTCTATATCTACCAAATGGCTCAATATCATATTTAAGTATCTAGATACTTATCAGAATATCACTCACTTATTAGAGAAATTGTGAATTTAGTAGAAAAAAAAACTGCTAGAAGCATTTCTTAATCTATAACAATGATAGAGATCAGTACTGCACTTTTAATATCATCAGCACCAGGCCTTGCTAAAGACAAATCCTATACCATTCTGTTAGTGGTTTTAAATCTATCACTGGCTCCAAAGATCTTTGAAAGATGGATTTTGTTAATGTTTCAAGTTATTTTATCTTTCAGTTTAATTCTTCTGCAAAGAAATCAAAAGTAATTTAAAAGAATCAAATAGGGGCCAGGGAGATGGCTCAGTAGAATAAGCGCTTCCCTGGCAAGAGCAAGGGCCTGAGTTCAATCCTTGGCTCCGCCAAAAAAAAAAAAAAAAAAAAAAAAAAGAATCAAACAAACCATATATTGCTGGACACTAATGACACTTAAGTTAGTCTAGCATATTATATTAGTTATTTTAAGGTGAAAAAACAAGTGGGTTGACAAATATCATTCAGTTCAAGAGGCAGACTGGGTGCCAACATAGTGCACAGCTTCTTTCCTCCACAGGAGGAGTACATCAAGGTAGCCATGTGATGACTATGACTGAAAATGACAACAAATGTTAGTGATAAACCTGAACATTTGTTAACTATAGTTTCAGTTATACAAATGGATAGCTGTGAGAGCTGATACATTAGTTTTAAGGGAATTTAAAAATACTCTTCTTCAAAAAAAATACTCTTTTTCAGGCTTAAAATATTTGAGAAGGGCTGGTTGGCACCTTAAGAACAAGGTTTATTCATATAGTAATTTCTGCCTTAGAGTGCATTAAATTCATCCAGGTTATATACTCAAATACTCGAATGAAAGAACGGATTTTTTTTTTTTTTATGAATGCTCCAGGTATTTTGACAGTTTGTCCATTTGTGCTCATTTTCAAATGTTTATAAATCATAGTAAGTAAACCAATTTTGTTTACTGAACAGCTTGATTTTTCTTTTTCCCAGGATACTTTGTGAAACGATAAAGGACTTTGTTGCCAAAGTAGAGAAGGCCTACGATAAAACGCTGGAAAATGCCGTGGTAGCACAAGCTGTGGCTACCAAAGTAAGACGGACACTTCAGGGTGGAAAAGTTGTTTGCTGACAGTGGTTTTTTATATAAATATATATATTAATTTTATTGAGAAAAAATTACAATGAGACAGTTTCAAACCAGGTTGGTAGGAGAGTTACAGCAATTAATACATTGTATATTGTTGTCTTTGTAGTAGTCATTCATAGCACAAATGCAGACATGATATCCTGTCCAAACATTATTAGTACATATCTTTCTTCTTATTGAATTAAGAGAAAGTAGCTATATATCTATCCTACTTTGTATGTATGGATAAAAATGGTCCTTCATTTATATCCCCTTTTTTTGTTTAGTTTTGTCAGAGATGGGCATTCCATTGCCATCCAAATATTGTAGGTGCATGAATTAAGCAACATATTCCAATATAATCCAGTAGTCCACAATAGTAGTGGGTTATCCACAGGACTGGCAATGTCTGGATCTGATGACTTGAGCCTTCCACAGCTCAGCATATTAACATGGCTTCACTTTTCCTACCTCGTTTCTACACTTTTCTGCTGGATGGTTAAGACCAAGATGAAGCAAGACCTATATAACATGAAATGTAACTTTTTTATCTGACAAGGTCTGTCAAATCCCCTCAGGATTTATCCTAAAACTCTGTACCACATTTTGTAGATCCTTTGTTAGTGTCAGCCATGTGTATGAGTCACAACTGTTACTTGACCAATTTGCTCTCTGTGAATTGCTGACAGTGGTAACCCTGGACTGTGCTTTCAAGCTACTCTGGTTAGGTGGTTGCTGTGTCAAAGCATTATGAATCAAGGAGAAAATTACAAAATAGATGCAAGAATTTCAAAAAATGTATTCTCACTTATGGTTTGCAAAAGACTTTTATTTCCCAAAATTTATACAATTGATGGCTTAAGTGGAAAGAAGAAAGTAAAAATAAACAGAGATTTGAAGTGTTCCTCCTCCTCTTTTACTCTGGAGAATTTCAGAAAACGGGAGCCCTCTGTTAGTCACACTTTGTTTCTAGATTCCTTTTCCTATAACTTTGTCTTGTGATGTGTCAAGAGACAACAGGAGGGAAAAGGACTTGAAGTTGTGTGGAGATAAAAAGTGTGTTAGCAGTGAGACCCTGTATGCCCTGTCCTAAATGCAAAAGAAAAAAAAAAGAAAGAAAATTAACAAGGTCATTATATTACTTATTGTTACTAATTTGTTGTTCAGACTACCTTGCAGGTATAGGCATGCAAGATTGATCAAACAATTAAATATTACCTCTTCCTTTCAATAAACCTTATTTTCTTGTCTTTTTAATATTTTTAAATTTAAAGAGCATAAAAATAGTACATAAGACATTAGAGATGAGAGATTATCTTCTCATGTCTAAATTACTTTCATGTCATTCATTGTTATTATTCAGAGATAGAATGAATTTTTATACTTTTAGAATCTTATAACCTTGTGATAGTCATTATTTGCTGTAATTTTGAGTGTAAGTATGTGTGATTTTTAGGATATTCCATATATAAGATTATGTTGGTCTGAAAATAAAGATACTTTATGTTTAAAAAAAAAAGAAAGAAAGAGTGTTAATAGTAGCACTGGCAACTTCAGTCCTAAATATTCCTTTACTCTCAGTAAAATGGGAAAAGCAGAAATAAATAGGGACCAAGTGATTATTTTTTCTTTCCACATCTCTTCTCTTCCCTCTTACCCTATACATTTTCCTTCCTGTTATTCAAGCCAGTAACCCATGGGGGGCTGGCGAGATAGCTCAGCGGAATGAGCGTCTGCTTAGGCAAGCACAGGAACAGCGCTTCGATCCCCAGCACCTCATGCCTTGCCAGCCCTGCCCACTGAGCCGGCCAGAGTCCAGGCGTGCTGGTGTGTGCCTGTAATCCCTGTGCTGGGGAGCCTGAAAACAGGAGGATCACTACAAGTCAGAGCTGTGTAGCAAGATACTGTACCAAATAAAGAAAGAAAATATAATTATATTAGATAAATTGTAATAAACAGCAATGTAGACGTCAAAAACCAGTAATTTAAGTTACCGTTTTTCATCTCCACTAAATTTTAAAATAAATGTTTCTTAAACCAAAACATTTACAGAATAAGAGGTGATAACCAGTTGCATTTTATAATTCTCTTTAGTGATTAAACCTTTAAGACATTTTACATAATAACTACTTGTACTTTGCTGATGTTTCTTCTACTTGGGTTTCTTGCTCATTACTATGTTTTGCTTTCTCAGTGTTCGGTCTTAAATGAGAAACTTGAACAACTCCTGCAAGCTTTGCACACAGACTTCCAGGCTGCCCCCACTCTCCCGGGCGTCGGGGCGGTCATCCTAGAAGAAGATGTCGTGGAATCTTCAAGCGAAGAATCCTTGGGGGAAAGCAAAGAGCAGCTTGCGGAAGATATTATGAAACCATCCTCCCAGAAAGCCATCAGACCAAGGGAAATAATGTTGCGAGCAAACAGCTTAAAGAAAGCAGTGAGGCAGGTCATTGAAGAAGCTGGAAAAGGTACACATCGACAAACTCAGCTTTGGAAGGAGTCGGCAGCCTTCCTACCACGAGTGTGACAGGGTTTTCACAACAGTCAGCTTAGACACACTGAGAAAAAGCTTAAGACATGATAGAGGAAGATAAATCCACTAAAAGGGAACTTATGCTTAGTCCTATATATTATTTTAATAGTAAAGATCAGCATATTAATGATGCATTATACAAAATCTCAGAAATAGAACTGGGAATCGTGGCACATGTGTATAATCCTAGCACTCTGGGAGGCTGAGACAGAAGAATCAAGAGCTTCAGACAAGCCTAGGCATCTTAATGTCCTAGTAAGACCCTGTCTCAAAACAAAACAAAACAAAAAAAAAGACCAGGGATATAGCTCAGTGAAGAGGCCCTGGCTTCAATCCATAATACCACCCCTCCAAAATAAAGTCCATATTCAGAAATGAATGAAATTTAAAACATTTCTATAACTATCAAAAAAAAGTCTTGCCTCTAAAGTTTTATGTATTTTTTATTTATTTAGTTAGAAGTTGTTGAATTCTTAACCTATAAATGACTTTGGAAATAAAATGTCAGCATTAATTTTGTAAATGCTAATTTTTTGAGAGTGTACAAAATTTCTGTATACTTTAATTTTTATATTATACTGTTTACACTTCTTAGAATTTTAGTAGACTAAAATAGATTTTATTTGGGGTTTTTTTGTTTTGTTTTTTCTTTTCTGTATTTTAGGGAAGGGTCTACAGGGTGTTCAGAGTCTCACTACTCGATAGGACTCATAGTGATTCTCCTGTTTACAGAGCTGGGATTACAGGCATGCACCACCATGCCCAGTGTCAAGCGCCATCTCAGTGCACCCCAGGAGCAGGACCAGCATGGCAGGCCCAGGGATTGAACCCCTGGCCCCTGTGCCTGCTTGCAGGTGCTTCAACCCACTGAACTATTTGACTGGCCTCTAAAAGTGACTTAAGCATGAATAAGAAATGTTCATTCTGATATATATATATATATCAATTCAATGTACTAATTTAGTTTATAGTCTCTGGTACTTCCAGACACCCTCAAGTATATTATTCAATAGTGTCTGTGAATATAAAACTTCTTTTGTTATGTGGGGGGTTTTATAATTTTATTTTATTTTGAAGAGTAAAAACAAAGGCAAGAAAATCAGGAACAAAGAAACAGGGTAACGTACAGCAATACATAGGTTACAGATTTTTCAAAGCAAGAATAGCTGATTAACTGTAATTGATGTGTTATCTATTTTTATCATCAAATCAGTTGTTCAGATTAAGAGATATAGTTATGCAGGATTGGACATATGATTGACTATTACCACATGCTTTCAAGAAATCTTAAATTTATGTTCTTATCTCTTTCTTTTATTACCTTTTTCTAAAAAATTTATTTTAAAGAGAGTATACTAATAATTGATATTACATTAGAATTTGATGTGTTTTAGAGGCCGGGAAGATAGCTCAGTTGAATAAGTGCTTGCCTGGCAAGCACAAGGTCCTGAGTTCAATTTCTGGTACCACTAAAAAAAAAAAAAAAAAAAAAGAATTTGATGCATTTTAATTTTACAGTCCTAAGCATATGAATGGATTTTATTCTCACTTACCCAAATATATTTTCTGTTAAAGTTATAGACGAGCAGACAGTTATCTGTACTGATTATGATAGTACCGAGACAGATGAATCCAAAGAAGAATCTAAAGAAGATTCAAGAGAATCATTAACTGGTAAGAAAACTACGATAACCTTATTTTGGAACTGAATAAAATGTAATTTTGTGTTTAGTTTTCAAAAGGTTAGCCATTTTGAACTAAACTATTCGTATCTTTATTTTTTAAATGGCTGTTTGGACATTAAGGCTTAACCATTTATGAATTCTAAAACAAAATTTAAACTATTGTTGATGCTCTCACATCCCTCTCATAACCAGGGTCCTATAGATTATCATGGTAAACTAAGATCTATAAGGCAAAGATAATTAATTCCTTGGTTTTCCTGAAGAAAGAGGAAGAACACCTATCTCATTCAATTTTAAGCTATTGTGGCCCGCATATTCCTTTGAGAATTGTGAGGAAGCTGCAGGTCCCACATCTCTACAGTTGGGTAGGGGCTGGTGAGATGGCTCAGTGGTCTAAAGTACCTACTTAGAACAAGCTTGGCAAAGCACAGGGACCGCGGTTCAATCCCCCAGCACCACATGCCAGCCAGCCCCGCCCCCTGGTGGGTGAGCTGGCCACACACACACACACATAAATAAATAGAATTTAAAAAAAAAATACAGTTGGGTATTCAGAGTGCTCAAGAGTCCACTAAGTTTCACTGGTCTACCTTCCACACTGATGATCCTTGTCTCTAAATTAAGCTTTAAGTCACAACCCTCTTATCAAAATTTTTTTTGTGAAAATATAAAATTGCTCACTGACTATTGTCTGTTTACAGCTTTTCATTGAAGATGAATTCATATTTTTAATATTGCATAAGCAAAAAATGTGTAATTTACTGGGATGAAACAAAGCAGTTAAAATACAAATGAAGAGATAATATAAATGGTACTTGTGAAAAATCAATACAATTATATCAGAAGTGTTTACATTCAAGAATTCATTATATTTTTGTTGTTCTTTTTACCATCTGTCAACTCAGGCAGATTCCTTAGCCTCTCTGGTTTTCTGTTCTGTAAAATAATAATTAATAGTAATAATAATAAACCAGTTTCATTGGGGTTCGCAAAGGTGAAGTTTATCTCTGTCTGTAAGGTGCCCAGAGTAGCATCCGGTACACAATGCTGTGTGTGCTTACCATTCTTTCTGTTAGTGTTACTCTCGTTATTGGTGCTGTTAATCATATTAACTTTGAGAGAATTTCCCCTAATTGTACTTAAAAACTCTTAGACTTCAAAATTAGATTTTGCAGATCTCTTATGTTCAGCATCCAACTCAGGAGAGACGTATTCTAGAACTTTTACTGAAGGCCCTTGGGTCTTTGGACCACTCAGTTTTGTTTTGTTTTGTTTTGTTTTGTTTTGTTTTGTTTTGTTGGCGGAAGCGGGGATTGAACTCAGGCCCTCGGATTGAACTCAGGCCCTCGTGCTTGCCAGGGAAGCGCTCATTCCACTGAGCCATCTCCCCGGGCCCCTCACCTCTTCTACCAGTCTTTAACTTGATGATTGCAACCTTTTTTGGTTTTCTTTTTGCTTTTGTACCTTTTTACTCAATATGTATCTTAAAAAGTGCTACCCAGTTTGAACAAAATTCTCCAGATATTTTTCTGTAAAGTAATACTACATTTCACCCCATTCAGTACTAAGTTTACACATGTTGCTATCACAAAGACTACTTTTTTTTTTTTTCAGACTTATTATAGTAGTTTACATTCAGCCTTATTGCCTGCTTAAAAAAATCTTTTAAATTTGGGTCTATCATTTAGTTTGGTCAGTCTTTTGAAATTTGATGCTATCTTCTCAAGTTTACTTCATCTCTGAATTTGATAATTAGGCCTTTGATATTTTCATCCATTTAAAAATACAAAGTGAGGCTGGCGTAGGCCTTACAGTCCTTACAGTGTACTGCCTGCAACCCCCCCCACACACACACACACACATCATGGCTTTCTGTGGAGGATTGATTTTTTTTTAATGCTCATTGTTAATGGCTATCATCTATTATCATACTCTCATAAATTCAAATCTTTCATTTTAATTAAAAGAAACTATAAAATATAGAGCTAATGATGTAGCTATTGCTACTAGGATGGACATAGATAAAAAATTCTTTAGTGTTGTATTTGATTATAAGATCTTAATTTTGACTAGTATTCAATATTGGGATTTGGAGCTGGGGACATAGCTCAGTGCCATAAGCCCTGCCTGGCAAGTGTAAGGTCCTGAGTTCAATCCCCAGGACCAAAAGAAAAAAAAACTTGGGATTTGATTTTTTTAGAAATCAGTGAGTGGCAATAACAAAAGTTTCTGGTATTTAGTGTTATTGTTGAAGCATACTCATTGTGTCATCATTTAAGTTAAGTCATAACTCAGAAAAGTGAGAAATATATTAAATATAATCATAGATGCTTTAAGAGCCATGAAACTAATTTTTAATTTTAATTTTTGTTATTTTTATATTTTGATTAATTGATTAAGGATTAGTTGCATAATGGGGATTAAACCCAGCGCCTCACCCAGCATTCTATCACTGAATGACATCCCCAGCATTTTTTTTTTTTTTTTTTTTTTTTTTTTTTTTTGAGGCAGGGCTTCCATGAGTTGCTCAGACTCACCTTGAACTTGTGATGCTCCTGCCTCTGCCCTCAGTAGCTGGCATTTCGGGTATGCGTCTCCACGCCCGGCTGAAACACTAGCTTAATTACAGCAGTCATCAGTGCACTCTGCTTTTTACCAGAGAGGAACAGCAAAGCTCCGTCATCAGTGCACTCTGCTTTTTACCAGAGAGGAACAGCAAAATGTTGTTTTCATTAGAAATTAGCCAGAAGTCACATCTGTCCAAAACAGAGTGGCTCCTCTGTTGCTTTTCTTTAATGCAACTAAACCAATTTGAGCAGAGAAAATACAGTGCGTGGTTAATATAGCTTGTAATTAGTCAAAGGGAGAGTGAAAATGATTAAATTTTAGAGTACTTCTAAATTTAATTTGTAAACTTTTAGGAATACCTACTAATAACCCCTAAATTAGTTAAAGGTTCTGTTTGTTATTTATTAAATTACATCAGTTTAGATAGAATTAAATCTGTCATTTTCTTGAAGAGTAACTCTTTTGGGCACATCATTATTTTGAGTAAATAACAGAGAGATGCAAGAAAATCACATCGGTTTCATTAAAAATAAATTCTCATTCTCCTCCCATTTTTAAATACAATGTTAACTCTTGTTTCATGTGTGGGCTCTGGGAATTACATTAATTTAATATCATTTACCCGTATTTATAGGAAAAGTATTATGTTTTATTATACCCTATTTTGAAAAATCATTATAAACTTCACATTTTCTATTTATTTTTAAATGTGAGTTGATCACATTGAAGTTAGTATTACTAACCTATAATTATGGACAGTATCTGTTTTTTACTACTCTCCCATCTATTTCAGATCAGAGATCAAAATACCTTGAAATGCCTTCTATACATCTCAAGAAAAGGAAAATAAAATGATTAAAGAACAATCAGATGAAATTGATATTTTTAGTTCTGCTTGATTAAAACAAGTTTTGGCCAGGCATGGTGGTGCATGCCTGTAATCTCAGCTCTCAGTAGGCTGAGACAGGAGGATTGCCACAAGTTTGAGGCCAGCCTGAGCTACATAGTTCAAGGCCATCCTGGACTACATAGCAAGACCCTGTCTCAAAAAGAAACAGGTCTTGAATTTATAGGCACTTATTAATAAGATGTCCTTTGCCTTTTTTTGTTACACTCCAGGCCTTTTGTCAACAGTTAAAGCTGCACCGCGGTCTCCAGATGCTCGGGCAAGTCGTGGCCATTCACAAACTGATGCTCTTCCTGGTCCAGCTGTAACAGCCACCAAAGAAAACCTGCCTGTACTCAATACTAGAATAATTTGCCCAGGTAGTATAGATTTTGAGACATGGCATATTGTTAAGTATTTCTGTGATAATATGTAAGTATTAATTTCCATGAACTCTGAAATATATTTGTTGCTTAAAGATAAATGTTCCTAAGACAATGTCCTTTCCACATTTATCAGTAGGGATCCAGGTCCTTAGATTCTTATGTGTGTAACAGTTTACTAAGAATCATTAAAACATGTGTTTCTTGACCCTTTTCTGAGAAGTCATGATGCATTGGTTTTGGGGTGGAGCCCCAGAATTGCTCATTATTAAGTGTCCACAGTAATTCTTCTTACAGTCTTGTGACCTCGAAGTATTTCCTCAGCTTTCTTTTGGTTTTAAATTTGTCTTTCTGTAAATATCTTTAGCCTAGTGATACTGTTTTGTTTTTTGAACATCTTATTATACTGATAAATAGATTTATCTTAGATTAGACTAATAATAATAAAAACCAATGGACTGTAAGCAGGAGATGGAGGAAAACATGGATGGCTCCTAGGCCTCTCGAGGTGCCAGTTTTACCACATCCCTCTGATTCATTCAGAATAGGTTGGTATCCGAGTTAAACCCTGAAATCAATGTCTTATACAAGTTCTTTTTAAAGATGAATCACAATTCCATGATAATAGAGACTTTATTAACTCACTTTCAGTAATGAACGGAATAACTACACAAAAGATCAATAGGAAATAGGATACCTGAAAGAAATACTTTACAACACTCAACCTGTGCACTATAGAATTCACATAATACACATTCTTCTTTTTTGTTCCTATGGTGCTCAAGATTGATACCAGTGCTTTTACACTGAACTACACTTCCATCCTTTTTAAACATTTTTAACTTTGAGACAGGGTCTCACTAAGTCCTTAAGTTGCCTATTCTGGGCTAGAATCCTGCCCTCAGCCTCCAGAGTGCCGGGATTGCAGGCATGCACACCACTCCTCACTGAGGGGCATTATTAAACGTCAAAGGAACAAGAAGACATGAGTTAGGGTGCAGAGCCTGTGGGAACACTCTGAACAGAAGATCTGAATGGCAGACAGAGGGAAAAGGACAGCTTCTTAAGGAGCCAGAATTGATGGGGCTGAGTGACCGGCTGGTTGTGAGGAATTTCAGGGACTCCAGTATTCATGTTTGAAATAAAACAGTTTTTGCAAGTCCAAATACTGTGAGTTACCATATGTAGAATAATCACATTAGGCCACTTATGTGTCATTTCATCCACCCAGTTTAAAAAGTAGCAGTATTTTACTACTTACTCTTGACAAGAATACTGAGTTTTTACCTTAGTACATCTCTTTAATATTTTAAATTTAAGCAACGTAATTATCTGCGCTTTAAAAGTATGAACGTGCTATGTCCATGACATTTTGGATAATTCAGCCTTCTTTATAGATTCACTACAGACATTATTGCACTGTCTGCACCAAGGAAAGTAGTACGTATTTTTTGAAGTTGTAGAATTACTGGAATGGTAAATGAGAAATGTCACAAAGAGACTCCAAGGCTTCCTTAATTCATTATGACGACATACAGATACATACTTAAAATTGTCGAAATCCCAGTGTCTCTAACTATCGTATTTCTTAGTTTCGATTAATGAGATGAGTAGGTGCTGGAACATGTGCCTTGAGAGAATGATTCTGAGGTGAGGTCTGAACAGGCTTGTTCTTTCTCTTTTTCCTTGAACATGTTGTGATCCTGTATGTATTCTTTTGTTTAGGTTTAAGAGCAGGACTAGCTGCCTCAATTGCTGGGAGTTCTATTATCAACAAAATGTTACTAGCCAATATTGATCCTTTTGGTGCAACGCCATTTATTGACCCAGACGTAGATTCATTGTAAGAAAATGCCTTTCTAAGTACTTCCTTTTGGCTTTGCTTGTTTCTGTTTCATATGAATTGTAACGTTTTAAATGTGTCATAGTATATTTGGCTCCATGTACAAAAAAGAGCGATTGACAATTCGAAGGCACACTGAAACTTTTGAAATGCGTTTGCTTCATGGTCTCCATCTCAGGTTGGGCCCCTTCCAGCCTTCCTCTGTGAGGGCAACACTGGCAGCGGAAAGCATGGCTTCCACTCACTTTCGCTGGAGACGCTTCCTTAATAATACTTCAGCCTGTGTTACATATGCACTTCGACTCATTTGTTCTCAGTCTTAGCAAATCTGCCATCTTTCCCATACCCAGCATCTAGGATTTCTGATTTCAAGAAGCTCCTGGCCCACAATGATCTTTTACATATTCCACAGCTTGAGACACTTTTTTTTTTACTTCCATTTTAATCTTGCATTATTATATTTTTTAATGTATCTGGTACAGGATTTTTAGTACACAGCTCAGACTCATAGTTATCCTCCTGTTTTAAGCCTCCCAGAGCTGGGATTACAGTTGTATGCCACCATGCCCAGTCTTGGTGTCCAGCTCAGCATGCCTGGCAGTGGGGCTGGCACAGCATGTGGTGCCAGGGATTGAACCCTGGTCTCTGTGCTTGCCTAAGCAGACACTTAGTCTGCTGAGCTATCTCATCGGCCCTTTAATCTTGCTTTTGTTATATCTTATTACTGTAATAACATTCCTTAAAGATTGTCTTGTTTTAAATTTTTAAAAATTCTTAGAAGAATAGATTGAGGGGCCGGGGAGATGGCTCAGTGGAATAAGTGCTTCCCTGGAAAGCTCAAGGGCCTGAGTTCAGTCCCCAGTTACTAAAAAAAAAAAAAAAAAAAAAAAATCGAAGAAGAAGAAGAAGAAAAATAGATTGAACTTTTTTTGTGTGTGTGGTACCAGAGGTCAAACTCAGGACCTTGCAGTTGCCAGGCAGGTGCTTATAGCGCTGAGCTATATCCCCAGCCCCAGAAGAACAGATTGACAGTGCTAGTTTTTTGCTCAATAAATGCTGGAGACTTTCTAGTTACTAAAGAGAGGTGTGCTGGCATTTGAGCAGATGCCTTTCCATAATTACCCTTATTGATCTGTAGAGTAAGAGGCTTTTGGAGGAGCAGAAGGCTAAATTGAACAGAAAAGCGAAGCCTGGCAGTGTCTCCACCTTGCTCGCTGCTCCTTTGCATCACATGTGCTCATCGCTGTGCTTGTGCCCACGACATCTACACAGACAATGATTCGCTAAACCTCGGAGCCTCATAGGAACATAAAATCATTTTAAGTGCCATTTTGTGAACAAGTTTCAATTGTTTTAATGAACTTGAAATTGAATTTATATACTTTTCCTTATTATCATAGAGATGGATATTCAGAAAAATGCGTTATGAACAATTACTTTGGGATTGGATTGGATGCAAAAATTTCTTTAGAATTTAATAATAAGAGAGAAGAGCACCCTGAAAAATGCAGGTAATTTTGAAAATAGCAATAATGTTATTACATGAAAGCAGTTTTACTTAATTTCATTTTATTACCTCTTTTGCTTGCTCTGCCTTTAAGAAGAAAATAAATAAAATTTACTGAGATTCCCTGCCAATATTTCTCTTCAGGAGCCGAACTAAAAACTTGATGTGGTATGGAGTCCTTGGGACCCGGGAATTATTACAGAGATCTTATAAGAATTTAGAACAAAGGGTTCAACTTGAGGTAAGTTTATCTTCTAGTAAAGACTTTTCCAGTGATCTTATGTAGAAAAATAATTTCCTTTGTGGAGATAATTTTACCTAAACTCTTGATTAATCATTAACCATTCAAGAATGAATGTCAAGGTGAATATCAGTTGTGTATTGGCATACTTAAGTATGTGGCTTACTTAACCATAACTATAATTAGCTACTGGAAGGGGCCACTGTGAGCACAGTACCCCATTAAGAAGGCAGAGCCACGAAGTGCATTTTTAGGTCAGGGTGTTTAGTGGGCTTCTTCATTTAAGTTAGCCAGTTCTGATTCAGTTCTACAATGCTCAAGTTTCACTGATTCCTTAAAGTCGTGTTCATAGTAAATATAATCTTTTGACTTAAATATGTATTTTATTGAGATTATGCCTAGCCATTCAATAAAAGAAAAAAGATTTTGAGCATTGGTATTTTTTATTTTAACTGAAGTAAGAAACTAAGGATAGTTAAAGTTATTTAACATCCCCCAGTAACAAGAAAAAGATAGAGGACATGACTCTGAAAATTCAGTCTATTAATTACTGTAATTTTTTTTTGTCTTGGTCCAAAACTCACTGTTTGTGATGATAAGCATGTCTTTCCATCTTATATCCTGTTATGATATTTTAAAGTTTGTTATGCATATAGAAAAATATACAAATATTAAGCCTTAAATGCCCTATTAAAAAATGAAACTAGCATTGTTGTGTTATTTCAAAAATGGGGTATGGACTAAGGTAGGGTCTGATTCAGTCATTATCAACTAAATCTGATATTAATGATGAGCCAATTATACTTTCTACTGTAAGATACAACTAAGCAATTATGTAGGCTGGCTTTGGTTTATCATTGTTCTAAAATTAAAATAGAGATTACTAGATTGTAAAGGGACAAAATCTTGGAAGTTCACTTAAAAAGCTTTGTAAAGTCTATCTTCCACAACCCTAGCTCAGGTCATATTAGGTATTCCTATGTATCATAATCCAGTTAATAAAATATAAATTTATAATATCATGATTCAAAAATGGATTTAATACACCTAACCTACCAAATATCATAGCTTAAGTTTGCCTACTTTAAACTTGCTCAAAATACTTACTTTAGCTGAACAAAGCCTACTTCCTAATAAAATGTTGACTATCTCAGGCCAGCAAGGTAGCTCAGTGGACTAAGCACCTGCTTAGGCCAGCGCAGGGAATGGGGTTTGATCCCGGGCACTACATGCTGCGCTGGCCCCACCCCTGGGCACACTGAGCCGGCCACCGAGACCCAGCATGGTGGCGCATGCCTATAATCCCAGCACCACCTCAGAGGCTGAAAACAGGATTGCTACAAGTCTGCGCTACATAGTGAGACCCTGTACCAAATACACTAAAAAAAAAAAAAAAACAAACTTTGAATATATCAAGTAATTTATTGAAAACTTACTACAAATGGAAATTAGAATGACTGATGGTCATGCTGTTATACCTTATTAAGTTTGTGTGTGCTGTGGTTAAGCTCCATAACCAACCACCTTTAAGGATTATGGACCCACATTATCTGAGATCTCTGCCACTAGAGGGTTTTAGTTGCTGATGGATTTGTAGCTTCTGCTGGTGGCCCATACTTCGGACACGACACTGCACATGTAGCTGCCTTTCTATCTCCTTTTGAAACAGTTCTGAAGCTTTGGAACATTAGACATTGTAAGAAACAGTATACCCTACAAATATTTTTAAGTGCATTATATAAAATAACACTAAGAAAAGAAACCAATAATAGTTAAATAGATTAACAAACTTTAAAATTGTTAAAGGGTAATATATGTATTTCATCATTACCAAATCAAATAAAAATCCTCTGGTGTGTCTAATTTCAAAGTAATAATGAACATAAATGATATCTGAAACATCTGTAGTAAGATGTAGAAGGTCTGAATATCTATTTGCAGTGAAGGCATGGCTATTGTTAATGTCTGATCTGTTTCCTACATTTATAAGTGCAAGCAGTGCTAAATTGCGGAAGTTAGTGAACACAAAGAGATATTTTTTTACCATAAAGTTAACAGACCCTGTATAACTGATTTCTGAACTTGAAGTTAGGAACCCTTTATTTAAATATATATTAAATGATTTTTTAAAAACACCAAAATCACTAAAAATAAATGGAAGCATGCTAATATACAGAAAAACTAGAGAATCTGGCATTATTGATGCAAGCAAGCAAATAAACAAACCAATGCCCTCTTCTAGGGATAACAGATCATTGCTAAAAGGCCTGTTCCCTAAGAATTCATTTTCCTGGTTCACTTGAAATAAAGGTGAAGAAAGGAGACCCACATTTTTCGAAACTTTTTCCAGAGAGATCCCTGCGTCAGTGGCAGGCTTTGACAAACATATTTTTTGCTCACATAAGCTTTCTTTCTCTTTATGTTGTGGTATAGAAAGAAACAGATTTCCTGTCGTGACTTTCATTTTATGCTGAAGGAGGGATAGGACTGTGGTTTCCCTACCTACAAAATAAATGAAGTAATGCTTTGTGAAAACCATAATTCAATGAGCTGAGATAAAAGAAATCTCTCTGTAAATTTAAAAGAATTGTATAGATGTAAACTGTTTCACAAGACATAGCAACTATGATTTTGATGTATACCTAACTTCCAGGATCATTGACGTTTATAATCCTCTTTCCAGTGATGGGAATGGCAGAATAATATGAACATATTTTGCTACTGTTATAGTAGCAAATTATCTTTGACATACAAATGTAGGCACTTCATTAAATTTTAAACATTCAATTAAGAAAGAGCAAAAGCAATTTTTTACTCATAATACATAAAACTTAACATATATTGAGCAGCTTGGTCTATTAAGTGAAATAATGACTGTGTCCTCTTTAAGGCATTAAGATAATGTGAAAAAAAAACATGTAACTTTTTAAAAGCAGCATTCATTTATAGGCTATGATGAAATAGGTGATAGAGCTCTTTCCCAGCTTGCAAGATGGTGGGTGAAAAACTGAGAAGCAGACACTAAAGAGAAGAAACCTGAAGCTAAGAAGGCTGCTGCCAGTGGTACTGGTAAAAAGGGTAAGATGAAGGCAAAAACATCCAGGAAGGGGCACCCCACTGCAGCCAAAATCCTGTCCTGGTTAGAAGAATTGGTAGGTACTCCCGATCTGTTATGTATTCCAAAGGGCTTTGTGCAAGAGAAAATACACAGCTGCTAAATCAAAGGTTGAGAAGAACAAGGAGAAAGTTCTTGCTTTGATCACAAAACCAGTCGCTGGGGACAAGAATGGTGGTACCTGGGTGGTTAAGCTTCGAAAAATGCCTAGATACTACCCTACTGAAGATGTGCCCTGATAGCTCTTGAGCCACGGCAAGAAACCCTCCAGTCAGCATGTGCAGAAACTTCAAGCTAGCATCACTCCCAGCACCATCTTAATCATCCTCACCGGGCGTCACAGAGGCAAGAGAGCGGTCTTCCTCAAGCAGTTGCTGCTTGTGACTGGGCCTCATATCCTTACTCGTGTTCCTGTATGAAGAACACTCAGAAATTTGTCATTGCCATCTCCACAAAAATTGACATCAGCAAAGTGAAAATCCCCAAACACCTCACTGATGTCTACTTCAAGAAGAAGCTGCAGAAACCCAGATACCAGGAGGGCGAGATCTTTGACACCAAGAAAGAGAGAGACAAGATTTCAGAGCAGCGCAAAGTGGATCAGAAAGCGGTGGACCAACAGATTTTAGCAAAAATCAAAGCTGTTCCTCAGCTCCGGGGCTACCTGCAATCCATTTTTGCTCTGACAAATGAAATTTATCCTTGTAAATTAGTGTTCCAAATTTCTTACTAAAAACCTAATTAAATAGCGGATGCATTTAGGGAAAAAGAAATAGGTGGTAGAGAACAAATACTTGTATCATTTGCATGTTGGGTTATTTCATATAGTTCCACAATCCTTTCATACATTTTTGAAAAACCTAAGTTTTTTGGTTTATTTTATGATGGTAATCTCTTTTATCACTTCAATGATTATTAGTTATAACTACTAGCTAAATTATTTTGTAATAGTTAAATTTTGCTGAATTATTTCAACATTATTACCTTTAATTCTTAAAGCTTTGTAAGGTAGATATTAATATCAGGTCCAAGGAGAAAGACAGTTACCCAAGAAAGCAACTGCTTGGTTATTATAACAGTATGTTAATTGTAACTAAGGAAGGTTATTTACTGGCCTCATACAATGTATTCCTGTTCCCTATTGGCCATACTATGTGGTAGGCATTGTTAATCCACTTAGCAGGTATAAAGCTCTGTAAGTTTAAGGGACTCACTCAGTGTAAGAGATAATTCAAACCAAGTCCATCATTTTTTCACTATACCACACAAAGGAACCAGAGATGGACAACTGCTGATCAGAAAAAAAAAAAATAACTGGTATTTTGTGGTGTTTTACAATATGAAGAGCCCCAAATGGAAATGGAGAAGAGTAGGGAAGATTATAAAAGGACACAGCACTATTGAGGGCCTTCTTTAGTCCAATAGTTTATCTAATCTACATTCATATTTTTTTCCAATGAAAAATACGAAGTGGATATTAAGCACTGAACTTGGTATTTTGTTTAATGCATACACATTAAATGAAGTATATAAAAACTGCTGTAATTTTTTTTTTTTTTTTTTTTTGCAGAACTGGGTATTGAACTCAGGCCAGACAAGCACTTATTCTACTGAGCCATCTCCCCGGCCCCCACGTAAATTTTTTTTAAAGCAAAGCCCATTTTAAGAAATTGTATTTCTCAAATGGGAAGGGGACTAAGAGATAGGCAAAGGAGCGAAGCATGGGAGAGAAGGGATGAAACATGACAGTAAGATGTGTTAGGTACATGTACTGACTCCATACAAGGACTGTAAATAGGTATTGCAAACATGTTCTAATTAAAAATAATACTAGGACCTGCGAGACAGCTCAGCGGTCTAAAGTGCCTGTTTAGGCAAGTTTAGGCAAGCAGCAGGGACCACAGTTCAGTTCCTGGCACCACATGTCATGCCAGCCTCACCCCCAAGGTGGGCTGAGCTGGCCAAAAATAAATAAATAAATAAATAAAATAATAATAATAATAATAATAATAATAATAATAATACAATTAGAAAGAATCAACCTGAACCTTTGTAAGACTGCAACTGTTGTATTTCTATTCAGTAAGAATTTATTTTCATTGTATACAATTATGTCACCAGCCATCTTTCCTCCTGTTTTTCTATTTAAGAGATAATTTGACTTTCATCTAAGTGACTACTTAGAAAAAAATAGTGTAAAATACTTTCCAACATGCATGTGTTTGGCTGGACCTTAGTTCTAAAGTACTTAAAAAACTCAGTTTTACATTTGGCTGTTACCAGTTAGTTACAGAGCACTGATGCACTCCAGGGGCTGTGAGAGGAGCCGGGGTGACAGGTAGGACCACAGCTACCCTATGTGGCCTGCTTGCAGAATGATGCCCAAAACAAAACCAGAGGCCATGACCCAGTAAGAATCTTGCAAGTGGCCTGAAAAGAAAAATATTCCCTGATTGGAAGAGGAAAAAGAAAGAAAACTTTTAAAAACAGGCTGGGGAGATAGCTCAGTGGGCTAAGTGCCTGCCTGGCCAAGCACGAGGACCAGAGTTCAATCCCAGATACCGCATGCCATGCTGACCCCAAGGCCAGGCATGGTGCACCCCTGTAATGCCAGCGCTGGGGAGGCTGAGACTGGAGGATCACTGTGGGTCTGAACTGTGTAGTGAGATGCTTTAGCAAATAAATAAATAAATATTTTTTATAAAAGCTTTATGTAAGTTGTCTGTGCTTCAAGTTTTTAAAATAAAATAAAGTTTTTCTAATGTTTATGTTTATGATTTACTAGTCCATGTTTGCATGGACTAATTGTCATGTTCTTCATGGAGATAGGTACTTGCACAGAACAATTGCCCCCCCCCATCCTCACCCCATCTCTTGGTCTCCTTCCTATTTGCAAAAGATCTGTCTCCCAACTTACTGTTGTCTTTCATTTTGCTCTTTTCTCATATTTTAGGTTTATCATAAGAACTTATGCAGGGGCCGGGGAGATGGCTCAGTAGAATAAGCACTTGCCTGGCAAGCACAAGGGCCAGAGTTCAATCCCCGGTTTTGACCAAAAAAAAAAAAGAACTTATGTAATTTTTAAGCACATGTATTTGATTTATTTGACTTAACATTATGATCTCAAGGTACATCCATTTGTTTTGACAGAGTACTCAAATTCATCCTCCTTTATGGCAGAGTAGTACTCTGCTGTAAAGAACATTTCCTTTGTTTTCTAACATCAGTTAAGGGACCTAAGGGCTGCTTTCCAAGATTTGGCTATTATGAGTTATGCTGTTATAAACATGTATCACTGTAATATAATTTTTTAAGTTCTTCAAGAAGATATTTAAAAGAGAGAGTAGCTGGGTAGAAAGAAATTTCTAGTTTCAGCATTTAGATGTTGAGGAATCTACATAATAATAAAAATATTACTATAAATATATCTATATAAGGGCCAGACACATAGCTCAGCAGATTAAAGCACCTGCAAGCAGGCTCAGGGGCCAGGGATTCAATTCCTGGGCCTGCTATGCTGGCCCTGCCCCTGGGGCGCACTGAGATGGCAATTGAGACTGGGCTTGGTGGCACATGCCTATAATCCCAGCTCTTGGGAGGCTGTAAACAGGAGAATCACTATAAGTTTGATCTAGTAGTGAGACCTTGAACACCCTGTAGACCCTTCCCTAAAATACAGATGAAAAAAAAAAGAAAATATATCTGCTATATTCTCATCAATAATATAGAATATATAGTTCCATTTTTCCCCGAGTCTCACCAGCATTTGATGTAATTTGATTTCTTTTTTAATTCATTTATTGAAAATCAATAATTACATGGCAAATTAAAAATTATAGACAAATACTGAAATATGAAAGATATAAGACGTAGACCGTGAATTTTAGAAAAATATTTCTGAAATGAATACATAACAAGAGAATAATAGATTGCACATTGTAAAAAAATAATTTACAAATAAATGAATATAACTTCTTGATGATAACCTTTCTAGAATAAGGTGGAACCTCAGTGTTACATAATTTGAATTTCTCTGATGGCCAGAGACACTGAACATTTTTTCACTTATTTATTGTCCATTATACTTCTAAGAAGTATTCTAAATGGGTCTTTTATTTGGGAGGGGTTTAATTCTGAGTTCCATATATATTCTACATATTAGTCCTCTGCCTAAGGAATAAGTGACCGTTTGTTTTTCCCTTTCTAGAGCTTGCCTCTCACTTTCTTGGTCATTTCTTTTGCTGTGCAGAAACTTTCTCAGTTGATGTGATCTCATTTGTAGATTCTTTATATTATTTCTGTAGTTGGTGTTCTGTTCAGAAAGGCCTTTCCTATGCCTGTGTCTTCAAGTATTTTAACTTTTCTAGTAGATTATGTTCCTGTTCAAACATTTAGTTCTTTAATTCATTCTAATTTTAATTTAATACACTGTGAGAGAAATGGTTGTAGGTCTTATACATGTAGATAGCCAATTTTCCCAACATCATTTGTTAAGGAGGCTGTCTTCCCTCTAATTTATGTCTCTGGTACCTTTTATAAAATCAGAAAGTTGAATGTGCATGGATCTTCTATTCTGTTCCAGTGATAATGTTTCACGAACCATATTGAACCAAACTGATGATAACAGCCTTCCTTATCTTGTTTCTGAATTAGAAGGAAAGTTGTAACCTTTTTGTCATTTAATACTATGTTGGCCTCTGGTTTGTAGTAAATTGCTTGTCTTGGATTGAAATAAGGTCCTTCTGCACTTACTTTCCAGTTAGATGATCCTGTGATTTTTTTTGTTTTTGCTTCTGTTTATGTGATGTATTTATTACACTTACTGATTCATGCATATTAAATCATCCTTGCATCACTGAGATGAAGCCTACATAGTCTTGATGTATGAATTTTTTTTTGTTAGTTTTTGAGTTTTCTTTGCCAGTGTCTTGAGGATTTTTGTATTTATGCTTATTAAACAGGTAGGCATGTGCCTTGTCTCCCTCTCCTCTTCCTCCCTCTCTGTTTTGGGTTGGATCCTTCTCTGATTTTGGAATCAGAGAATGCCATCTCTTAGGAAGGAGTACAGTACTCCTGCCTCAATTTCATTAAAGAGTTTGAGTAGTACTCATGTTAGATCTTCCCTAAAGCACTTGAAGAATTCAGTGGCCAGTCCACTGGGACCTGAACTATTCTTAGTTGGTAGTTTTATTACAGCTTCAATTTTATTGCCTGTTAATAGATTAATCAGAATTTTTATATCTTCTTAGTAGTTTGGTAATTGTATCTAGGACTTGATCTTTTTTTTTCTGAATTCACCCATGTACTAGTGTACAGATTTTTTTTTTTTTTTCCGGAACCAGTGGTTGAACTCAGGCCCTTGCACTTGCCAGGGAAGCGCTTATTCCACTGAGCCATCTCCCCTGCCCTAGTGTACAGATTTTTGAAGTAATTACTAATAATGTTCATTATTTCAGCAGTGTTCATTGTGAGTTTGCCTTTTTCACTTCTAATTGCATCGATTTGGGACATTTTTTCCTTTTTTTTTGGTCTGAGTGACTACATGTTGTTATATTTTGTTTATTCTTTCACAGAACCACCTCCCTTCAATTCACTAGATCTAGTATTATATTTTTAATTTAAATTTCATTAATTTCTGTTTTGATATTTGAAACTTCTTTGTACTGGCTTTGAGTTTGGAATGTTCTTGTTTTTATAGGACTTTGGGGTACATCATTAGGTTATTTATGTGAGCCAATCTGTCTTTCTGATGTAGGCATTCACAGCTATAAACTTTTCTCTCAGGATTGCTTTCATTGTGTCCTATAAGTTCTTTATATCATCTTGGCATTTTCATTTGATTCTAGAAAATGTCTAATTTCTTGTTATCCATTGATTATTTAAGAGAGTATTGTTTAATTTCCATGTGTTTGTGTAATTTACATGATTTCTTTGTCTTGGTACCAAGGATCAAACTCAGGACCTTGCACTTGCCAGGCAGGCGCCTGTGCTGCTAAGCTGTATCACCAGACCACTGTGGTTTCTTTTGCCATTGATTTCTGGTTTTATTGAACTATGTTCTGATAACATGCATGGAATAATTTGTTCTTCTATGCATGATTTATGAGCTAGCATGTGATCTTTTTTGAGAAAGTCCTATGTACTACTGTGAAGAATATGCATTCTGCTGTTAGGTGGATATACATGTATACATGTGTGTGTGTGTGTGTGTGTGTGTGTGTATATATATATATATATATATATATATATATACATACATATATATACATATATATAGCTTGTTTTGTTTTTCAAAGATTTGGATATATATCATTTTTTTCAAAGATTTGTTTCAACTGTGATAGTTTTTACTTTTTTATCTAATTGATCTACTAATGAAAATGGTGTACTGAGGTCCACCATTATAACTGTGTTGGTGTTTATCTTATTTATGTCCAGTAGTGTTTGTTTTGTAAAGAAATGTGTAAGAAGGTATTCACAAGAAAGCTAACATTGCTAGCACTGAGCATTTTAGTATCTTTCAGACTAGTGGTTCTGCTCTGTCTGTCTAACCTCTGAGCTTTGTTTCTTGCAGTGTGATGGACAGTATATTCCTCTTCCTAGTCTTCAAGGCATAGCAGTGTTGAACATCCCGAGTTACGCTGGAGGCACTAACTTCTGGGGTGGAACCAAAGAAGATGATGTAAGTAGCATAATGGAGTGAGAATTTGTTTCCTGAACAAACATGTTGTATTACTGGAATAGTTCCTGTTTAAAATGTGCTTTTCAGGGCTGGGAAGATAGCTCAGTGGCTTAAGTGACTACCTAGCAAGTGCAGGGTCCCAAGTTTGATCTCTGGTACCATAAAATCATATGAAACAAAAAAAACAAAGCACATACAAATAAAATGTGCTTTTCAATATTTAAGTCAGAATACATTGGGCAGGTGAGGGATAAAATAGATTTAAGATTTTATTTGAGGGACCCCTAGTAAGAGTGGACAGCCTGAAAGGAATATAAAGAACAGAAAGGGGGCCATTGCTAGCACTTGCTTTTTGGGCTTTCTACCTGCCTTGCTTTGCCATGGACTGTTTCTTCTCTGCCATACCACCCTGCCTTGGAGTCAGAACTGAAGCCTTTACAAATTCTGAGCTATAATAAAACTTTGCTCTTCTAAAAAAAAAAAAAAAAAAGATTTTATTTGAATGTCTTTTTTTTTGTGGAACCAGGGATTGAACTCAGGCCCTTGCGCTTGCCAGGGAAGCACTAATTCCACTGAGCCACCTCCCCGGCCCCTATTTGAAGGTCTTATCCTGGGCTGTAGATAATAATATTCTGGATAAACAAAAATATCCATTGGGAAAGTCAACTTAGAAGATGAAAGGGAGAAGCTTTTTAATAGCATACCTAGTATTATTATTCTGTTGCTATAAGAAATTAACACAAATTTAACAGTACACATGAATCATTGTGTAGTTTTGCGTAGTAGAAGTCTGCCACAGAGGCCCTGAGGAAGAATCTTGTTCCTGCTCTTACTGGGTTTTAAACTTTGCTCCCATTCCTCCATTGTCCAACTGAACTAAGGAAGGCTAAAGCCTGATACTGTATCACTCTGGTCTCTTCTGCCTCCTCCTCCTAGATTTAGTAATGCGTAAGACTATCCTGACTATCCTGAGTGCACGCAGAGCATGCAGGGCAAGCTCCCTGTCGCAAGGTCCCTAATGTAATCACATCTACAAAGTTCCTTCCACCATGTTAAGTGACGTCATCACGTGGCCGCTTTTAGGGTGGGGATGGGGGCATCATCACAGTGATGTCAGCACCTTTAATTTTCCAAGCTTGTATGTGTATTCCTATTAATTGTAATTTTAGTAATATCAAGGCTTATTTATTTAGAAAGATCAAGTGAGGTAAGGCTATTTTTGTTGACATATTTGGGAATGGCTCTTCAGTGAACTTACAAGATTATATATAAAATAAATCACAATGGCTTATTTTTTTCTTTTTTTTTTTTCCATACCAGGGATCAAACTCAACCTTATGCTTGCCAGGTAGATGCTTGTGCTGCTGAGCTATCTCCCTGGTCCTCACAATGTATTTTTCTAATTATTATTATTTTTTATTTGTTTGTTTGTTTAGTACAGGTTCTCACTACGAAGCTCAGACTCATAGTGATCCTCCTGTCTCAGCCTTCCCAGTGCTGGGATTACAGGAGTGTGCCACCATGCCTGGTTTCAGGGGCCTGCGCAGCATGTGGTACTGGGGATTGAACCTGGGTCCTTGCGCTTGCCAGGGAGGTGCTTAGACCGCCCCCTCACAGTCCCCCCTCCCAGTTCCAGGGCTTGAACTATATGCCGCTGAGCTGTCTCCCTGGCCCTCTCACAGTGTATTTTTAATGTTTATGATATGAGTATATTCCAATTGTACTAGTTTTGTTTATTTTTGGTCTTTTTGAGACAGGGTCTCTCTACACAACTCAGCATGGCTATGAGCTCACTTTGTTGCCCAGGCTGGTCTTCATCTTGCAGCGATCCTCCTGCCTCAGCCTCCTAAGTGCTGGGAATACAAACATGCACCACCACACCCAGCTCTAAGTACAATTTAGACTAATCATCAACATTTTTTGCCAGCTTGTTACCACTTTTGAATATTTTGAAGGACAGAAATCAATGAGATTAAAATAAAGATGACATTCCTTAAACACCTACTAGGAAATTAAACAATGTTTAAGAACTTCATATTTGCTATAATACACACTTGTTTGCAGTACCAGGATATATATATGTATATATCCTGGGGATGTAGATCAGTGGTAAAATATTTACCTAGCATACACAAGATCCTGGCATATGTATCAGGGTTAACATTACTTCATGTGCCACTTTACCCAAACTTCCAGTGAAAATGTAATATAGTTTTTCCTTGCAGATATTTGCTGCTCCATCATTTGATGACAAAATCCTGGAGGTTGTTGCAATATTTGATAGCATGCAAATGGCAGTGTCAAGGGTCATCAAACTGCAGCACCATCGAATAGCCCAGGTTGGTACCTCTGATCAAATAAATCTGACTTCATTTCTTGGGCTACGGAGGGCTGAGGGAAGCTTTTCCACATGATGCCTACCCTGAGAATGCTTTTGGGAAAGATTGGCTTTCATGGAAAATCACTGATTACTGTGGCATGACAAGTAGTAAAGCATGGGAACTCCACCCCACAGAATGGACTAAAATCTAAGCCTAATCAGAGATTGATTGTCCCTTCTTCAGGATGATTTGTAAGTAATGTGCTTGTTTTATTTCAGTGCCGTACGGTAAAAATCACTATATTTGGTGATGAAGGAGTCCCAGTGCAGGTGGATGGTGAAGCATGGGTTCAGCCTCCAGGAATCATCAAAATTGTGCACAAGAACAGAGCTCAGATGCTAACAAGGGACAGGGTATGTGACCAAAGAAAGTCTTCAGCATGTTTGTCAAGCTGTTCTTTAAAATATCTTAAATTACTAAAAACAGAAAACAAGGAAAAATTAAATTGTCTCTTAGGTCTGACATTTAGGTCATTGTAATTTTTAAATATGAACAAATACCCATTCAGTTTTGTTTTAAATTAAATGTTTTCAAAATCACAGTTTTAAGTTTACAGAAAGACGGAGTAGAAAATACAGAGAATTATAATATTCTTACATCCTTCTTTCCTCCCACCCTACTCTACACATAAATTACGTATTTACTAACATTTTGCACTATTGAGACACATTTGTTGCCACTAGTGAACCAACTTTAATACATTCTTATTATTAACTAATGCCCGAGTTAATTATTCTCTGTGTTGCATACCTATAGCGTTTGGCATACATAATTTCTTCTATGCCTCATTACAGTGTTGTATAGAGTAGCTTCACTGTTTTCAGATTTTTCCTTGTTCCACAAATTCGTGTTTCCTGGTAATCATTGATCTTTTTTACTACCTCCATAATTTTGTTGTTCTCAGAACATATATTTTTAATTAAGGTCAACCTTTAATAAATAAGGTTGGCAATATTCATACTACCCAGTAAAATAGTAAGAAAAGATCAAAACATAGTCTTTATAAACTGTATGTATATGTTTTTTTTTTCCTACTGAGAGATTGAACTACTCAGAGAATTCTTATTAAGTGCATCCCCAGCCCTTTATTTGTTTTTTATATTGAGACAAAGGCTCACTAAATTAGCCAGGGTGGGCTCAAACTTGAGATCTTTCTGCATCAGCCTCCCAAAGTGCCAGGTTTACAGGCTTGCATCACCATGCCCCGTTTAAAATGTCTTTTCTAATACTTGTGATATATCTAATGACTTGTTAGATTAGAGAAAAAGCCATCATAGCTCCAAAGAGTCAGATAGTATCTCAACATATATTTGCCTGGATCTCAAGAGTTTTCAGGTAACCATTTATTGCGCTGTTGATTTTTAAATAGGCCTTTGAGAGCACTCTGAAATCTTGGGAAGATAAACAGAAGTGTGACTCTGGCAAACAAGTTCTTCGAACCCATTTGTACATCCAGCATGCCGTTGACTTGGCCACAGAAGAGGTGTCGCAGATGCAGCTGTGCTCCCAGGCTGCAGAGGAGCTAATTACCAGGTACTGCGGTCCTGCGGCCTTTACTGACCATGAGCCTGGCCTCGGCCTGTTTTGTTTTTGATTCGGTCTGTGCGTGGAATCAGAAGCGGTGTGCTTGTTGCCTCACTTGTACTTCAGAGCTTGCTGTTCTCCCTCACTAGGAATCCTTTGTTAGGTTCTCCAGTCTGAGCACCTCTGTGCGCTCCAAGGATCAGATCTTACAGTAATAGAAACACTTTGGTTTTCTCTGCACACAGTACTTTCTGTTACAATTTCCTATTTTATCTGTGGTATTTACACTACATATCCATTTAACATACTGCTTTATGATTGGTAACGAATGTTTGTGGAATGTAGAGATAAATCTGAATATAAACTCCTATTTCCAAAGAGAATCAGAAGTCGTAGAATTAGTTTCTGATAAGCATATAACAGATTTTTAAGGACCACTCGTAAGCTAACTTTGGTAGACAGAAAGGGAAGAGAATAAAATGGGATCTATGAGTATAAAACTGATAAAAATCACTATAGCCAGAAATAAACTTTCAGCGAGGGGAAGATAACATGGGCAAGTTTCTTAACTTTTCACCTAAGTCTAACCTACCAAAGAAGGAATCATAAGAACGACTTTATTGTAAGAATTAACAGATACTGTAGAGGTAAATCCTGTGCCTGCAGGCAAATTAGCAGATTAGAAAGGGAAAATAATGGTTCTATGTTGGATTGAAGAATTTAAATTACATTACAGATATCCAGGAGACAGTTGCAGTTGGCAGTTAGAAATGTTGGTCTAAAGTTGATCTACTTCTTTTCATTCTTTGAGAATTAGAGTACCATTTACCTAGCTCTGTTCTAAAGTTTCTCAGTTGAGGTTCATTTACATTGTCTCTGTGCTTTGGAGTATTGGTGTGTAAGAATTAAATTATTTTCCTTTACTCTTCTTTCAAGTAGACAGGGCTTCGGTCCCTTTTCTTGTTTCTTCTGTCCCTTTACTGGATTGAAGTTCTTTCTCCTTGAAGACATCAGAAGTGAGAAGTACTTGACTAGCCTTGCTTTTCCACTTCTACAAGCCTTACATCACGTTCCAGCAATTGGTGGAACTTTTGCTCTGTTCTCTTCTTTGGTCTTCATGCCACACAGGATTTTGTCTTTCTGGACTCCTCTTAGAGTTTTGAGTGCCAGAGGAGTGTGCCAGAATCAGCCTTGGAGTGGGATGGATGTAGATCTTAGCTTCATCACTTATGCTCTCTGTATGGTCATAATCCTGTGGAGAAAATGAGCATAGCTTTATAAGATTGTGAGAATTGATGTATATAAAACACTTAACATACAGATGCATTTTAACTAATATACTTAAAATGTCAATGAATAAAGCATAAGTTTCTACTCTGTATTTATGACCTTTCTCATTTTCTAATTCTAGGGCAAAATAATTTGTTATTAACACATCTGAGATGTTTGTCTAATTATAAGCCTAATTTTATATATGTATACATTTTTTAATGTAATTCCACTCTGTGGCAATGAGGATTGAGGTTACCCTGTGAGATCTATAGGTGAATGCCACTCAAATGTTTTTTCTGATTAACCAATCTTCACAGTGCTTCATTTTATCCTCCTTCATTACTCTCCTGCCCCAAAAAATATTAGCAATGCTCTAAAAAAATTTGGTTCATTTATGTCATTTTTACTCTTAGGATTTGTGAAGCGGCCACAATTCACTGTCTCCTGGAGCAAGAACTGGCCCACGCTGTGAACGCGTGCTCACATGCGCTGAACAAAGCCAACCCGCGGTGCCCGGAGGTGAGCTCCAATGGTAAATTCTCATTCCACAGATTCTTCTAGTATTACACGTGTATTTGAAAATTATAAATATGCTCTGCACATGAACACTATGTATACTGGATGCGTGGCTGTCCAACCTCATGGTGAATTTGTGGCCAAATTTTTGTTTTCTTTTTCCTGCCATTTTTTGATTCCTGTTTATAAATTCTTCCCATTTCTTTTTTAATTTTACTTTCAATCGTTTACTCTTTGCTAGGGACCAAACTCAGTGCCTCCCCAAGCCCCTAGTCTTTCTCCTACTAATTGTTGCCATCTTTTCTTCTTTACCTCCTTGCCCCAACACTTCAGTAAAGAGAAGACATAGAAAGCATTGGTGTTTATCTTTAGTGATATCCGTTTATTTTTGAAGTCAGACACTGACACTGTGTACTACATTTTGTGTGGTTTTGGGGTTGTTTGTTTGCTTTTTGATACCTAGGATTGAACTTACGACCTTGCACTTGCCAAGCAAGCACTAATCCCACTGAGCTATCTCCCCAACCCCTCATTTTGTTTTACTAAGTTGTAAATATATCTGGGAAGGTGACACAAAATGAATTAAAATGTATTATGTACATACATCAGCTCCCTGTAATGAATATAATCATTTCTACAAACATATACTGATAAAACTTTTTAAAATATATACTTCAATGATAATAGACTGGATTGAATATAACTCCTGAAACATGAAACATGGTATAATGGTATGGTGTAGAGAAAACTGATACCATTTTATTTCTTTAATTATTTGATTGAATTTGCCTAAATGAATATTCAAGTAAATGCTGAGTCTCAATAACTATAAAAAGGAATTGGTTGGCACTACTGAGATAGAGCTAACTGCAGTCAACACTTGAGTAATATGGGGATTAAAGGCACGAATCCCTCATGACACTTGATAATCTTTGATTCCCTCAAAATTTAACTATCAGCCGCCATTAACTGATAACACAAAAAGTCAATCAACATATATTTGCATGTTACACGTATTATATATAGTAAAAATATGCAAGAATCATGAGAGATCACTTTTTACTAGAACACCTAATTTACAGAAGTGATGAACTGCTCAGGTGAAGAAGATTAGCATTGCCTGCACTGTTAGCAGACACTCTCAACACCTGAGCTTGTTGCAGTAGCAACAGAAGTGGCTTCAAATTGTGACCATAGAGGCAAGGGAGATGGCTCAGTAGAATAAGTGCTTCCCTGGCAAGCGCAAGGGCCTGAGTTCAATCCCCTGTTCTGCCAAAAAAAAAAAAAAAAAAAAATTGTGACTATAGTATAGTGTGCTCTGCTGTTAATTTTATGCAGTTATGACTTGATGTGGCACCGTTCCTTTTACATTTCTTTTGATTGCAAATGTTACCATGTAAGGCATGTATTGTGTGTTGCAATACATTTAAAATGTTTTATAATATATTTGTGCTTATTGTGTGGTCGTAAATAAGATAAAATTTACCAACATATTTTTTTCTACCTTGGTGACCTACCTTTTTCTGGATTTTTTTTTTTTTTCAGTAGTTCTAGGCTATGCGGTTCATCTGCAAGTTTTTCAGATGGTCACAATATGCAATGCAGAAATTTGCATATAAGTAGATTCCTGGAGGGTCCAACCCTGATTATTCTGGGGTCTGTATAATCAGATAATGCCCCTTCAAGACCTAATTTTGGGGCTGGCCAGATAACTCAGCAGACTAAAGCGCCTGCTTAGGTGGAGTGCAGCAGCCTGGTTTGATCCCTGGGCCTTGCTGGCCCCGCCCCTGGGGCACACTGAGACAATGATGGAGACTGGGTGTGGTGGCGCATGCCTGTAATCCCAGCGCTTGGGAGGCTGAAAACAGGAGGCTTGCTACACATCTGATCTATGTATGAGACCCTGTAAGACCCTACACTAAATACATAAAAAAGACATAATTTTGATTTAACTTTAATGCAAATGTGCATAGGTTGGTGCCAGCAAGTATTATTTATAGGTAAAAGATGTAGTCTTGAGTATATTTACTGTAGTAAGTGGATTTTTTGGTTCTGTGACATGTTAATTAGAAAAAAACATGAAATTTTACAATGATAGAATTTTGGTAGATTTTTAAAAGTTATTTATAATGTGAATTGAGAATTTTGAGTAAAATTTAAAGTATCTACTAATGATGGAATTTCAGTGTAATACATAATTATGTGTCTTCGATATTCTTCTTTTCTAGAGTCTTACAAGAGATACTGCTACTGAAATAGCCATCAACGTGAAGGCGCTATATAATGAAACAGAATCTTTGCTAGTTGGCAGGGTTCCTTTGGTAAGGAAATGAAATGACTGATAATGTAAGAATGATGAAAAAAGGGCTGGCAGGTAGCTCGGCAGTCAGAGCACCTGCCTGGCAAGTGCAAGGACCCGGGTTCGGTCCCCAGTACCAGTACCGTGTGCTGTGCAAGCCCTGAAACTCCAGGCATGCTGTGCCCGCCACTGAAACAAGGCAGGGTGGTGCACGCCTCTAATCCCAGCGCTGGGGACGATGAGGCAGGAGAATCGCTATGAGTCTGAGCTGTGTAATGGGACCCTATACCTCACAAATAAGTGAATAAATAAAATGCTTTTTTAAATGATGACATAAATTCTTGGATTTTTACTTGTATCAGAGGACCTGCGTATCAGCAGTCCAAAGGCAGAAGCTGCTTTCTGGCCTCCGTCCTTGGGACTTCCTATTCTGCCAGTCTTTGGCCTTCCAGAAATTGCATGACTAAATTTTGGAGTTAAGATTCAAACTCAAGCAGGATGCAGTGGCACAGGCCTGCAATCTCAGCACTCAGGAGGCTGAGGCAGGAAGATAACTCCAAATTTGAGGCCAGCCTAGGCTACAAAGTGAGTTCAAGGCCAGCCTGGACTGCATTGCAAAACTGTCTCCAAAAGAACATAATAATAGTAAATCAAATAATGTTTAAAAAAAAAAAGATTCAAACAAAAATACCTGTCACATGTTGGCAATCCAAGAACTAGAGAAACTGAGGCAGGAGGATCACCACAACTTTGAGGCCAGTTTGGGCTATGTAGTGAGTTCAAAAAGAGGAATAGTGTTTCCCCTCATAGATGCCATCACATGCTACTTGCTTTCCCCAGTTGGCTTTTGGAGCCTTGAGCTTTATAAAATGGTAACATTCCTTGGTTATTCATTATTGCTCAAAAATAGAGGAGATCATGGGTTTTGTTCCTGGAATTAACATTTGAAATGGGATTGGTGTGGTCCTCCAGATTTGCTTATTACAGAAAGACACTTTGTAGATGCGATGTTTAAAGAACTGTACTTCAAAAACTACCACTAGTTTGACTGAGTTTAGTCCGTGAAGTCAAGTTTAGGCAAGTCTGCATCTGACCATAGTTCAAGGCCATCAGGTATGAATGCCAGCCCAGAGTCAGCCTTTCTTCAAAGTAGTGTCCATGTTCATGTTCTAGCATTGAGTCTTGTCGTCACCTAAAAGTGAGACGGGTATATACACACATGCTGTTGCTGTGTTGGGGTCTAATGGATCAATTATCTTTTCCTCCCTTGTAACTACTCTTTGTTCACATTTTCAGCTGTATTATGTTGAAATGGAAAGAACCCCCAACACACACACACACACACACACACACACACACACTCATCTGTCATTGACAAATATGAATATTTGCTTTAAAATATATTCCAGTGAATATCACCAAACCCTTTGACAAGAGTATCACAATAATTATATTTTAAAACTAGTTGACTCCTTGTAATAAATTGTAGAATGACTGTAATCAGCATATATTCCTAGACAAGAAAGAAAGTGGTAAATGTTATACAATAAGGTAGAAAATCCCCATATTTTTAACCACTAGAGAAAGTAGATAACCCTGAATAACAAGAGGAAACAAAAACATCATAAATGATAATTTTCTTTCTGAATTTCCAGTTCTAAAATTTTTTTTTTTTTTTTTGTGGAACCGGGGATTAAACTCAGGCCCTGGCGCTTGCCAGGGAAGTGCTTATTCCACTGAGCCATCTCCCTGGCCCCTCTAAAATTCTAAGAGCATCTATATGGGATCTCTATAGTTGTTTTTGTTTGGTTTTTTTTTTTTTTTTTTTTTTAGTTTTTTGTTTGTTTGTTTTTAATGTATTGACACAAGGCTTCACTATATAGCTCAGACTTGTAATAATCCTCCTGTTTTCAGCCTCCCCAACACTGGGATTATAGGCGTGCAACACCACATCTCATCTTAGTGGCTGGCACATGGGGGACAGGACTGGTGCAGCATGTGGTATGGGGGATTGAGCCCAGTCCCTGCAGGCACTTAGTCCACTGAGCTATCTTGCTGACCCAGGTTCTGTATAGTTTTAAAGAAATTTGTGAAAGTATTAGTTAGAAGAGACCTCAGAGGTAATGTCATGTTACACTCCTTCTGGAAGAGGAAAGTGAGACTCCTGAAATCGGTTAACTTTCCCTTAGTTTGCAGTTAGTAACAAGGCAGGACGAATAATTTGTTCAACTTGTAAATACGTTTGAATAACTCCTCTGAATGAGTTTAAATTCTTTTTAAAGTATCCAAACTATTTCAGCTTATTAACTGCATTTCACTTTGCTTTTTTACAGTAACATAAATGTAAGATAACATAAGAAAGATTTTTTACTGTAAATTTTTCTGAGTTTTTTCCTTAAAATTATTATTTTTTTCAAGAGCTTTTTAATTTTTTGGCTAATTTAAAAGACACTGTTTCTTCATGTAGTGGCTTGTGTAAACCTAAAGGATTTTTGACACAAATAAAACAGTGACACAACTCTACCAGGCATGGATATTTAGAAGGAAGGAAGAAAAAGAAAAAGGATAGGAGAGATGGGAAGACTTTTACTTAAAAGGAACACCAAAAGTAATATTTCTTGTGAAATTATTTGTCAAACTAGTTACGAACATCATCTTTGTGTAGAATTAGAATGAATCTATCCAAATGGTTAAAACTTTAAATATGTAAGTTTGTTCTTTAAAACATTCTTTTATCTTTAAGAAATTAACCTTATAAATAAGGATGCTCACCATCAAGACAGAAGTTGTTCTGTTTGTCACTGAGTCTTGTTTTACGTTTTAATTTGCTGGCGAGCAGCAGTTGGAATCTCCACACGAAGAGCGGGTATCCAGTGCCTTACACTCTGTGGAGGTGGAGTTACAGAAATTAACGGAGATCCCCTGGCTTTATTATATCTTGCAGCCCAATGAGAATGAGGTATGTAAAATTCAGTCTACCTCCTTACGAATATAGAGTGTAGCTTTGAAAAAAGAAACATTATCAATAAAACTTTGAAAAGAAAAATAAATAAATAAATAAATAAATAATAACCATTTATTTCTCACAATTAAAAAAAAAAGAAAAAAGAAACATTTAGGGAAAATAAAATTTGAATACTACTTTGAAATGTATTGTTCTTAATAAGGGGCAAGGTATCTTTGTGAACTAGGCACTGTGCTGAAATTAGTACGTTTTCAGTAATACAGGACCTCATGAGCCTTTTTGCAAGTTACCGCTGCTGTGCAATGTGTAGTGTTTATAACCTATTCCCACATATCTCTATTCACAGACTGGGCTTTTCTTAATATCCTAAAGCAAATCTTTTTTTACTGTATTGGAACAGGAGCCTCCTATGGATTGCACAAAAAGAAACAATAGAAGCACAGTATTTCGTATAGTGCCAAAGTTTAAAAAGGAAAAGGTTCCAAAGCAGAAGACAAGTTCACAGCCCGGTAGGTAGTGTGTGTGATGGGGAAAGGGACTTGGGCAGTGAGGTGGCGCAAGCATACTGGAGCTCGAGTGCCGTGAGCGTCGTCCTGCGTTACGCAGACGCTAGATGTCATGGGCCTGACTGTGCAGTAAGCCAAAGCAGAAGTAGGAATTTAATTGCTTTTCTTCTTTAAAGTTCAAGACTGAGAGCATTTTGCTAAGTGGAACATAGAAACTTTCGCTTACCTCCTTTAACTTGGTAAATACACTTTCCACTTCAGTTATGCATTTTCCTTGTCTTAAAACAGTAATCTGCACTAAGGCCATCAGCTCACCAGCTGCTGTGACACTCACATTCTCAAGTGAAAATTAAGCCCTGTGTATGCTGCTACTTTTCCAGTTCCCTTTTTGCCTTCCTTTAGGGGTCAGTGTACTGCCCCCCTAGTGCTGAGGCACCTTCACATCCTACGAGAGCTGCCTTTTCATAATCATATCATTTTATAAATTCCTTCAATTATAAGAATTTCCTAAGTTCTGAGTCATGTCACTATTTTTAAAAAGAAGTATAAATTCTTACGATTTTTATAGAGCAGCTAGTGAAGACATTAAAAAAACTAAATGCAACAAATAACTAGGTTTAATTAAGCTAAAAACAAATGTTGCATAAAGTGTCAGAATGGTTGTACACTGTGGTGGTGAAGCTTGTACAGACCAAGTGCAAAACTGCAGTCCAAAACCCACTAAGCACAGTGTCAGCGCTGCTATTAAACCTGAATACTGAGGGCTTACTTTAGAAAAAACAATAAGTTAGCATCTTTGATATTAAAAGAAAAACACAATGACACACAGGCCACTAAGAGGTCAGTACTGACAGTTTTTAAATGACATTAAATTAATTTCACAGCACAATTATTGCTGCAATTATTAATAGCAGTAGAATCAATAAAAATAACACTTGAAGCCAGCACAGCCTGAAACTCGCAGTTTGTAAAAAACTGAATGCTTTATTTTAGATTTTAAACTTTTTAATTAGCATGTGTAACTCATTTTTTACTATAACAGTTTTTGTTCAGGAAAACTTAAAGAAATCATCAGCACTTAGTTAAACCTTGCACCACTGATCCTAAAGATGCAGATTAAGTTTTTTATGTATATTGTGTAATCAGGATAGTTTTAATGAGGATTTTAACAAAACTAAAGGCATGGACTGGGGAGATGGCTCAGTAGAATAAATGCTTGCCTGGCAAGCACAAGGGCCTGAGTTCAATCCTTGGTTCTGCAAAAAAAAAAAAAAAAACAACAAAACTAAAGGCATGAGGGCACAGTCGTCAGTGTCTGTATGGTCAGATCTTCGTGTTGAATGGTAACCTGCATGAGAAAAAAAGGAACATGTTTCTGTTGAAAGCGCACCCTTGGCCTTTCTCTGCTGGCACTGCTGCTGCACTCTGTGTTGCATCCTCTTCGGCCGACCTTTGCTTTGTAATGCATTGAGCACGTAGAAATTAAGGGGGTTTTGCTCTTAACTTTGGTAGTTCAGAAATGGGGCACAGAGGAAGTTGCTGCTTGGCTGGATCTGCTCAATTTGGGAGAGTACAAAGAAATCTTCATCCGTCATGACATCAGAGGGGCTGAACTTTTGCATCTGGAAAGGCGAGATCTGAAGGTATTTCCTTTGTGCTACTTTTCTGCTCTTGAGAATTTTCTTGCAAAATAGAATCCTTTATCCTGTGTTGTGTCTCTTTTGTTACATGCCTTCCTTCGGCCTGGCTTGTGTTATGTGAACTTGCAGTAATCTAACATTCATTGCCCTAGAGTCTGAGTTTCTTGTGTGCTTTCTAAACAAGATTGTCAACAATATTTTCCTATCAAAATTAGTTTCTGGCTATTATGCTACAATGCAGCATGAATTTAGTGAATTTGCTCTGCCCATTGTTGTGACTGTTCCCGTTCTAATCCTTCCACCTGGATCGTGTTTCTATCAGTTTGTTGTATTGGATCAGCATGAAAATTTGCATTTGTTGCTGGCAAAGACTAAAAAAAAATAATATAAAGTAAAACTAAAAAGCAATTTAAAACATCTATAACAAGGGCTAGGGATATAGCTCAGCTGCACAGTGCCAGTCTGGCAAGCATACAAGGTTGTGAGTTGGATTCCCAGAACCAAAACAAACCAACAAACAAACCAACAAACAAACAAAAAAACCCTGCTCTATAAAATATCTGTAACAGAACCTTTCTAGGCAGGTGTGGGGCACACACCTATAATCCCAACGCTCTACTTAGGAGGCTGAGTCAGGCAAATCCCAAATTCAAGCCCAGAGAAGGCAATATAATGACTTGGTGAGGCCTTATCTTAAAATAAAAAATTTTAAAAGGGCTGGAAATGTAGCGCAGAGAGAAGGCTATTGTATGGAACTAGAGGAGATACAAGCAGTAGCTACGTATAATCCTATGATTTTATTGTGTTTGTAAACTGCCTTTCGTGGGTTAGACAAACAACTAGACTAATAAATTTAAATTTCCTTGACACAGGGTATTATCATTCTGTTATTATCAAAAATAAATTTACCCTCTCAGCAGCTCAAGGCTTGTCATTCATGATACAGAAACAAGGTCATTAATTGATGGTCTTCAGCAATTCTCTTCTATTATTCTCTTCTTTGTGCAGAGAATCAGTAGTAGAGACAGCCAAAGCTCTTTATTCTGTACAGTGGTTAAAAATAAAACTTTAGTACTTGCCACGCACTAGCATTTTAAAACTGTAATAAGTTACCACTGTTGACATGATCGCTGTCTATGTACGAAATTCTAGAAGACAGAGAATTATGACATTAAATTCGTTATATATTCATACACTTATAATGCCTTAATCTACAAGTTAGTGATCTTTGGAGACAGGGATCAGGTAATGTATATATCTTAGAATAATCAATGTTTTAGCGCAGCAAAGGGGTGAATACCACTTATGTCTAAAATTTTTAGCAATAATAATAATAATAGAATAACAGCTAATTTAGTACCATGATTGAGAATCATAATTCTGGAGCAGAGCAAAATATAAAGTTCATGAAGCAAAAGTTAAGTTAAAATTTTGAAATGAGTGAACAAAAGGTAGATATAGGGGATCTTGCAGCCAGATATTAATGTAACTTCTCATGTCATTGGCAGGTAGTGTTGGGAAAATAACTCAGTGGGCTAAGCGCCTGCCTGGCAAGTGCAAGGTCCCCAGTTCGATCGCTGGTACCAAAAAAGAACTATCATTGGCAGGCTGTAATACTTGTACATTAATACTAATTTACAGTGTTACGCCAGCTTCTCTAGGTGATGTCCATCATCTGGAGGATTGTATCTCATGGCCCACAAAATAGGCATACATCTAAGGAAAACACTGTATAAAGAATATGCACATGAATATATTTATGTGTTATATAAATGCATATGTGTTGTGTAAATCCATACCAACATATAAACACAGATATACACGTGTGCACATTACAGTGCTCAGCAAATAGTGTTCAGTTCCTAAATAATTTGTTCCACAATTCTGGAAAAAGGCTGTGTTCATGTTTGTCACTCAGTGCAGAATTGGCAAACAAACCCAAACTTTGGTCAAATGTTTCTGCTTGCAAACCAGATTGGTGGTAAACAAAAGCATGCATGAACCTAGATACCGGTGTTTATATTTGCGCAGTGATAAAGCACATATATAAACGGAGGCAAAGTTAGAGTAATAGGAACTATGTTAAAGATAGAATAAGAAACCAGAGTGGTGTTGCATGCCTGAAATCCCTGCACTCAGGAGGCTGGGGCTGGAGGATCGGTGTGAGTGCAAGGCCAGCCTCAACTGCTATAAGGAGACTCTTATTTGATTGCTTAAAAATGCTAAAAAGTTTTCTCACCCTGCACACATGCCCTCTTCGCCAAGCTTCTCCCCCAGCCACCTGGCTAACTCTTGCTAAAAACTGGGCTTGTTGCTTCTTTATCATTAAAACAATTTTATCAAAAAAAAAAAACAAACAGACAAAACAAAAATAATGATTAAGAGTAGTAAGGAGATGGTGGGGAATTATTTTAGTAGACTTTCTTACTAGCTTTATACAAATTTTTGTTATTGTTCTGTTTTGTTTTCAATGCAAAGTATTTCCTTCCCTTAAAACTTTCATTTTAGACACATGTATTGACATTTTGTCTTTAACTATTTTGGTTCTAAAACAGGATGTGGGGGGTGGAAAGGGAAATCGTACAAGAAAAGCTTGTTAGCACAGAACCGCTGTGTCAGTTGCTTCCCACAGCTGTGAGAGAATACCTGCTAAGTGCACTTAAAGTATGGAAGATGTGATCTGGCTCACAGCCACAGAGGTCTGCGCCTGGCCAGCTGGTTCCACTGCCAGGGGCCTCCAGGGAGGCAAGACTTCACGGGACAAGGCCTGGTAGAGCAGAGCTGCTCCCCGCATAGCAGCCAGGAAGCGGAGGGATGGGAAGAGTCTGAGGGAAGGCGCTAGTGACAAGGTTCACCCTTCAAAGGTACAGCCCAAGTGACCTGCCCCATCCAGGTGGCTCCACATTCTCACAAGCCCCTTGGGCCGTGAACTCATCAATTGATTAATCTGTTTGAAGGGATTAGAGCCATCTTGATCTGTTTAGCTGCCCAGATCCCATCAGCTAGCAACAGAACCTTCAACACAGTGGACCTTTAGGGGAACAATTCAAACAACCTGCCTGACCTTAGTGTTTGTGAAATTCAGGATTACATCATCAATGTGCTCTCTCTGTCTCTCTCTGTCTCTGTCTCTCTCTGTCTCTGTCTCTCTCTGTCTCTCTCTCTTTCTCTGTCTTTGTGTGTGTGTGTGTGTGTGTGTGTGTGTGTGTGATATTTTCTTACCAGTGGTCTCTTCTGACACTTGGATGACACATAGGGATATAACCTTAACATGCCTAAAAGCAAATTCTTCATCTCCTATCCCACTCTGGGGATGTGCATCTCAGTACATCACACCTCCGGCCCTCCAGCTGCTGGAGGCGGAGAAGCCCAGAGTCTTTCTCTTCTTCATTCCTCAGCCGCTGCTGCAACCTCCCCAGCCTCTCAGCCAGCCATGTTGATTCTGGTCTCCACTCATTCTGTGATTCCCTGTCCCCAGTCCTACCCTACACCAGTGTCACATCTGACCAGTAGCTTCCTTCCCACCCTTTCCATTGTTCATTTCTCTCCAGTCCATAATCTACAGTGCAACTACCAGGGTGTTAACATTATCCACCAAGTGTATCAGTTAAAACATTTCAGTGGCTTCCCCTTCTCAGAGAATAAAGACTCACATCTTTGTGGAGGACAGAAAGGTTCCACCTGTTTACCTCATAGGTCATCTCTGGCCCCTCACTGGGTCATACCCCATCCACCTTTCCCTTTTTTCAGTTGCCTGAAAATGCTGAATGTTTTCTTGCCCTAGAGGTTATGCCTTCTTTTGCTGTGCTTCTCCTCCATCCACCTCACTCTTGCTGAGGATTTAGCTTCTTACTTCTTTATCACTGAAAGAACTAGAGCTAGCAGCGTGATTAGATTGGAAAGGGAAAATTTCTAATATGCTTCAGCTGGTGAAGGAACAAAAGGATAGTACTAATGTCCTTTGCGGAGTAAAGTAGGAAAAAATGAAATTGCCACAGAAAGGGTTTAAAACACAGCTGTGAATTTTGTTTCTTTAATTTCTGGGGTCTTTTGCCCCAGTTTGGAAAGTTGGAAGGGCCGGGGAGAAGGCTCAGTAGAATAAGCACTTCCCTGCAAGCACAAGGGGCCTGAGTTCAATCCCTGGTTCCATGGGGGGAGGGGGGGGGAAGAAAGTTGTAATATGAAACTGGAAAGATAATTGAATATTTGCAAAGTAAAATACACTTTGGCAAAGGTGGGCCTATCCTTGCAAAGAAAGAAAAAGCCAATAGGAAAGAAAACACTAAAGAGAAGTGCACAGCAATATGTGATAACCAGGAGAAAGGGAAAGAAAAAGCTAATGATTTTAGATAAATTCATCACAGCCTAACCCCTTAGATGTAAAAGTACTAAACTGAAACAAAAGTAAAGAAGTCAATGTAACTATATTACATTATGGAAAGCACTGATCTTATTATACTAAGATAGTAATTCTGAGCAGGGCCTGCCTCCTCTGGAGAACATTTTGTTCTGGAGAACACAGTGTGTATGCGACCCAAAATGAAATACTTAGTATTTGAATACTAAAACACTCAGCTTTTTGACCCACCCATGGAAGCAGCGGGTTTCACTGCTCAGGTGATCCTCCTGAACCATCCCAGCCAGATCGGTGCTGGCTGTGCCCCTGGACTGGACTATCACACACCTCACATTGCTTGCAAATTTGCTGAGCTGAAAGAAAAGATTAATCACCGGTCTGGTAAGAAGCTGGAAGCTGGGCCCAAAGTTTTGATATCTGGTGATGCTGCCGTTGTTCTCTCCACCTCTGGGTCGTTTTGTTGTTTGTGATACGAGACAAGCAGTTGTTGTGGGTGCCATCAAGGCAGTGGATGAGAAGGCTGCTGGGACTGGCAAGGGCACCTAGGCTGCCCAGAAGGCTCACTGAATATTATCCCAACACCTGCCACCCCAGTCTCAATCAGTGACAAACGACCAGTCTCACAACTGTTTCTCCCAAGGCCATCTAAGTTTAATAGTGAAAGACTGGTTAATGATAACGCTGCATCATAAAACCTTTAGAAGAAAAGGAGAATATTCTGTGGACCGCTTTTTGTGGGTGGCAGTTTTTAAGTTATTAGTTTTTAAAATCAACACTTTTTAATGGAAACAACTTGACCAGGAATCTGTCACAGATATTTGAGGCCCGTTAAAGCAAAGTTTAATGAGGATAAATAAAGAAATAAAATACTAAGTTTTTTGCAAGAAGTTATCTGTTACCACAGAGTATGATGATTACCTGAATATTCCACTCAAATAAAAGAAATTAAGTGAAGTGGTCAATGTGTTTGCCTTCTAAATTTAGGTAACAGGCACTGATATCTTCATCTAGGATTTGGCCATGCTTTTAGGTTTTATATTTGTCATCTTCCCAGAAGATATATAGTGGCTTTGGGACTAATGCTGGATGGCTTTATATTGTATGAGAAAATCATTTTTCTGGATCATTTAAATATGATAAAAATGTTACCCTGGAATTATCTGAGGCTTGAAAGTAGCACTGGCTTTGGGAAGAATATTTCCATTGTTGGCTGTAGAATTTAAAGAGCTCGTAAAGCTTAGGGGAGTGTGTGTGTGTGTGTGTGTGTGTGTGTGTGTGTGTGTGTGTGGTGTATACTTAATCCAGTCTGTTCTATTTCATTTAAAAATTTCAAAAAATATTCTTACAAACTCAGGTGGGTATTTGGAATCTGTCTTTCCTGAGAATCAATCTACTTTTTAGGTTACTTTGTAAGTTATTTTACTTTTCTACTAATTTAATAATTTTAATTTCTATTTTAATTTCCTACTAATATAATAATTTTCAGATATTTTACGTTGTTTAGTGAAGAGCTTGCTTGGTCTGTCACACTAGCAAACTGACTACACTTGCTGCAATTCAACTGTAGGGCTCAGAAGTGGAAACTCTCCCTCGCAGTGTGTCCCAGTACGAATTACCGCTGTTTTACATGAGTTGTCTTCCCTTCTGCAACAAATGGTTACCAAGTGCTTGCCATGCAATATAGAAAGAAAAGAAAAGCTGTCGGTTTTGATTCTTAAAGAACTGCCTTGCTGTGTACAATTTATGAAAGTAACAGTTAATCAGAGCTTGTGTCGAATTTTTTTTTTTTTACCAGTTGGTAATTTTTCAGTGGCAAGTTATTTTTGTTTTATTAACTTCTTTTTTTCTAGCTGTCACTTCCTAAACCATTGAATACAAACGAAAATGGATGCACTGAATGCCAACTATGTACCTGCTGGTTAAACATTCAATGCTATGTTTTCTCTTATCAATAAACTTTTTGTCTCCCCCCCCCTTTCTTCTTTCCTTCTTTCCTTCCTTTCTTAGGACCTGGGGATACCGAAAGTGGGCCACACGAAGCGCATTCTCCAGGGAATTAAAGAGCTTGAAAGGAGCACTCCCCAGTCTGAGGTGTAATAAAATTGGTGCTATTCCTTGGAAGAGAAGTATCTCATGGTTAATACAAAATCCTGGGAAGCAGTTGGCTGCTCTTCTGGGTTTCTGCATAGATAAGCAAGCACGACTGAAGCGCCTCTGTGCTTAATATTTTCTGTGGGTGAAAATTTTGATTTGAGGTATAAGAAAATATTTTTGTGCCAAAAATACATTCCATAAAGCCATTTTCTTATTGTGCAAGCCTGACATGTATAAATGTGCTCACAGCAGTTTGTAAAAAATAGGAATCTGAAATGATGGCAATATCTAAAAGGTGGAATTGCTGTTTGCTTTCCTTTGACCTGGTCTTACAGAAGGCTTTTCCTGTGTGACTATGTAATAGTATATGGATAAAACTCCTTAGGTTTCATTATCGGAGGCATTGACTTCTTCCTTAAAATGGTTAGGAGACAAGATAAAAATTAAATTTCGTTTTCAGTGTTAGATTGGTATCACTTCCGGTTCCCAACACTCACTGGTCAAAGACTATGGTTAAACAAACCCATCAAATAGTATAAATAATGCACATCTGAATGCACGATGCTCCTGCCTGAATTGTCTTTCCTTTCTCTGCATGTCATGTATAATAATGTAATACTTATATCTTTAATGTCAGTTTTAATGGAATTTATGTATTACTTCCCAAGTCCCTTTTTGTTGGCTGAGGGCACTGCACTTTTCTGTTCTTTAATGTGGATTTCTGCAGATAGGTATCTGTACCTAAGACTCAGTAAACTCGTGTACATGCCATAGTCGACAGCTGCTATCCATCCCGGGTAAGCCAGTTTTAGTTCAGTCTGTCTCCAACTGTAGGTGTGCACACTAAGAAAATTCTGTGGGTATTTTCATAAGCTTACATGCTCTTTCATGTAACAAAAGGTATTACAGTTTTCCAAACCACATTTCCTACATTTCGTCCCTC